GGGATCCAAATCTCTAACCACACTTCTGGCCTTATCAGATAAAGCACTAATTAACCCAGCATATTGCACTGTTGTGGTGTTATCTAGTGTCGTTTTGATTGGTATACCTTGAAGATAACAAGTATAAGGGTAAATGGGTGACAACTGCTACTCTTACCCTCAGAGTTTACAACGATAGTACCCACAACTCCTTTGTGGGACTGTATACGTTTCAAAGTATCTTCCACTTCGTTAGACTGCAAGAATTGAATTTAAATTAAAATATGAATTAGTAATTATAAAATTTTTACCATATTTAAGGGTTAATGAATCACTGCCTAACAAACGTCAAACTTTTCTGTTTTCTTGTTTTGCATTGTTGCCAAATGGATGCAGAATATACAGGGTCTTCATTAATTACTGAGACCCACGTGACTGCAGGTGGTTAGGCAACTAAAAATGCGCGAATGGTAATCCTGATTTTTTTCCCCTAGGAAAGTTACTACTGAAGCCCAGTAATATTTGAAGGCCGAATTAAGTATTTTAGAGAAACACGAAATATATTGTACTATTTATTGTTACAAAAGGTGCTCAAAGTGGCCACCGTTCACTTCCAGGCACAAATTCACTCTACGCTTCATATTTTCAAATACACGTTCGAGTTCATCTTGCGTCACATCGTTTATTTCTTGTCGTATCGCCCTTTCCAATTCTTTGAGTGTGTGCAGTCGATTTTTAAATATATTATTTTTAATTCGTCCAAACAAAAAGTAGTCCAATGGTGTGAGATCAGGACTTCTTGGAGGCCACAAACCAGTGCTTATAATTCGATCGCCATAAAATTCTTGGAGGTATCTAAGCGTTTCGTTAGCGGTCTGCCTGTTGACTTCCCTTTGCAAATGCAGTGCTTGTTTTCATATCGTGTTATTAGACGTGACCTGTGGTTCTTAAATACATCGTAGTCGATATTAACATCAGGGTTCTCTTCGGAAAACTGTTCAATGCACGATTGCAGTGAATACTCCAAGTTCCATCAGGATTTCGGTTACCACTGCGGAAATGTGCCATTAAAATAAAAGCATCTTGCTCTGGTGTGAACACCATCTTCCTACAGCGATACACTAAAAATTCAAAATAACTTAATGACAATTCTCCTTAAAAATTGTTAACTTACATGAGAATAACTTCGTAGCGTTAAGAGCTCTGAAAAGAACTGTTTTGGCTGTTGATTTAAGATAATGTTAAAGAAATTCGAAAAAAACGGTAAACACAAGCAAAGATTGACAGGAGGGGAAATAAACAAATATGCAATTTGGGTATTTTGTTTTAACCAACTGTCCGTGTCTACCAACATAAAGAAAAAATATTTAAAGCGGGAAATTTAAATTTGGTCACGTGGGTCTCAGTAATTGATGAAGACCCGGTAGTAATAACCACAGAATGTTAGATCATGCATCTGTTACACGCTATATAGGGTGACACAAAAGTACCAAACAAATGTTACGGCTGAATGTAGGGGATTCTTAAATCATATACCGGGTGGTGCACGGTAAGTAGAAACATAGGGATTTAACATGGGAAATTGGTGTGCAATATCCTGCCTCCTGTACGTTTTGCAGAAAGAACTGTAGTTTAAAGTTGTTCAGAATTAAAAGGCGCAGTCAAAACTATTTTTACATGTTTTATTAAGCTTTTGTTATACCCGCAAATTTAAAAATAAATTTCAACATTTCTGTTATTATAGTAGCAATAGCCATGACCACTTTTGTTGTTTTATGAATTGCTACTAATAACAGAAATGTTGAAATTTATTTTTAAATTTGCGGGTATACCAAAAGCTTAATAAAACATGTAAAAACAGTTTTGAATGCGCCTTTTAATTCTGAACAACTTTAAACTCTACAGTTTTTTCTGTAAAACGTACAGGAGTGCAGGATATTGCATAAAACCAATTTCCCATGTTAAATCCCTAAATTCCTAAAAAACCAATGTTCATTTTTGAGAATTGTTCTAATTCTTTTTTGTAACTTAAATAATTTGAATTGAATTATGTATTTAAAAATTTTGCGGCGCCCATATGGGCTACTTGCGGCACCATAATCGTAGTTAACTTCCAAAGGCGACTCGACCTTAGATCATGATCTAAGAACTCGACAGCCACTCATTTGCGATCGCCCGTTATTTGGAGATGGTAAACCATAGAACAAACGAATCAGCTTCACCTAGCAGCTGTCTATTGAATCATATATATATCTCTTATATATATGTATTGAATTCATTGACATTTTTGACATTTAGGGCCAGTTGTACAATGTAGGTTTAAACTGCAGATTGAAACAAACCATAATCTTCAGTTTTAACTTAACAGTTAACATTTGTTGTGTTGTACAAGTTCATTTACAGTGAAGTTTAATTTTAACAAATTTTCTGAACGCCCTAGGTATGTCTGCAACTTCATGTATGTTAATTTTAGCAATCAGGTTGGAGGTTATGTTTATGAATGGTGTATGAAACCGAGTTGTTTCTCTTGCTTGAAAATGGAATCTGAATATAAGTATGGAAAATTTAAAGAACAAGAAGTACAACTGTTAATGACCTTAGTTAATAAATATAAGGTCATTATAGAAAATAAAAAAACAGACGCAATTACATGGAAACAAAAACAAACCACATGGGAGGAAATTACTAACGAATTTAATGCCAATAATGATGTATATAGAAGTTGTAAAAATATTAAAGGTAAATATGAGAATCTAAAAAAAAATGCAAAAAAAAAATTTGCAACCGAAAAGCGAAATGTATATAAAACGGGTGGAGGTGTCGATAAACCGGTATTAATAACTGAAACAGATCAAAAAATAAAAGAAATTATTGGAATTAGTTTAGAAGGGCTAATTAATCAGTTTGATAGTGATGTAATCGAAGTAGTTAATGATGGTGCTGATGAGACAGTTGAATCGATGAAATGGTCCGGCTGGACTCCAGACAAACTGAAAACCATAAAGACTCCAGTTCTTACTGTTGCACAAGATAAGACAGTACATTGCACTGTAGTTTCTTCAGATGAATTGAATGAAATTGAAAGTATAGCTGATGATAATAACATGAATGACACCGAATTAAGTGATGTAGTCCCAATGGCCTCTAATGATCAGAGTGACACAGGTAAACCAAGTGTTCCAGTTACAACCACCACTCCGATTGCAGTAAAACGAAAACGCATAACAAGTGAGTAAACATTATAGAACATTTATGGGTAATCCTAATCCCACACCTGTTATTTCAGATGTCAGAACAGCAAAAAAAGGGAAAAACGATTTAACAAATGATTGTCGAGAGAAGATTTGCTCTTTCACATGCTCGATTAGAATTAATTAACCTACAAATTCAGGCTCAAACTCAACAAATTAAGTTACAGCATGAGGAGCACCTTCAGAAGATAAAACATAACGAAACTGAACATCAATTACGGGCAAAATACTTGCAATTACAAATTAAAATGTTAAATAAAGAAAATCTTTTGAATATTTTAAATACCGAATAGAATCTTACAGTATTAAAATGAATGTTAATTTTTTATTTAAGTTTTCTTGTACAACAATTACAATAAATGCGAAAAATAATTGTCGATTAAGTTTGTTCGAACATTATCTCTTCCATGTCTCTCTTCGTAAACCGCCACGTCCCATTCCACATTTTCTATATTTACTTCAACAGGAGGTGGATTAATAACCTTCATGTTGATTGCAATATTATGCAGCACCGCAGTTGCTACAATTATATTTAATGTTGTTGTCAGCTTTACACGCAGTCCAAGTGATAAAACTGCAAAGCGTCGTTTCCAAACACTGTATGAACGCTCGACTACGTTTCTCGTTCTAATTTGAGCCTCATTATACAAATGCTGTGCAGGTGTATTTGGGTTTAACAACGGAGTCATAAGATAATTTTCCACAGGGTACCCAGAATCTCCCACGAGAAAATAATCTTGATAATCGGTTTCCATTAGCGCCTTCAACCTACTATTTCCGAAGATAGTAGAATCATGAACTGATCCGGGCCATCGAGCTACTATGTTTTGTATTCTCAGCTCTGCATCACATACAGTTTGAACATTAATCGAAAAATATCCTTTACGATTCCGGTAACGTTCGGCATCATCACCACCTACAAATGAATTATGGAGTGCATGTTGAAAGCGGCAATAGATATAGTAGTCACCTGGAGATTGGATTCGAACATGTGTACAATCTATAGCCCCAATCACTTTGGGAAACCGGGAAACATTATAGAATTTTCTTGTTGTTTGAGCTTTCTCTTCGTCAGTCGAAGGCATTTTAATATAATGTTGCGCCAATGAGGCTATTGCTCTTGTAACTCGTGCAATAATCCTGGAGGCAGTTGACTTGTGTATACCTCCAAAATCACCTGCTACAATTATCATAGAACCAGAGGCATAAAAACGGAGTGTTAACAGTAGTTGCGTTAGAGCATCAACCGCTTCATTTCTGTAACATCGAAAGATTCATATAACTCAGAAATTCTCAGAACAAACTTCTACCTGTCTGTTAAATAAGATATTTGTTCTTCAATTTGTTCTAAGATTGCCAAAATACAATCCTTGGACAGTCGAAACCTGTCCAAAAAGGCCTCGTCGTCCCATTCTTCAAAATGATTTTTTCGTTGTCTAAACTGTTTACGGCGACGGGGTCTTTCAACAAAATTAATTATTTCCTCATCATCCGACATTAATTCCTCAAATATATCAAATATTTCATTCATATTCACTTGATATTCAGTAGTTGTAGTTACCAATTAACATAACCTTACACAAAATGTAAACAATGTTCGTGCGTGTGTCGTTTTTTTGTCAAACTGCAGTTTTCTATGTTTTACCGTAAGGTAAGGTGCCAGTAAAGATTTAACTGCAGATTTCTCTATTACCGTTGATTGTACAACAGCAGAAACCTAAAATCTACAGTTTAATCTACAAACTTAAGTTTTAACTGACATTGTACAACTGGCCCTTACATTACATTAACCACAATCGCCAGTTTATTTACAATCTTATTTACGTCGCAAATTTTTATTCACCATAATCAAATAATAAAAATCGGTAACCAAATGCTAATTATCAAATATTTACATAACATTAATTACATAAGTGTTGGCTAAATAACATTTTAATAACCTCTCAAGATGAGTGAAAAATCCACTGGTGCTCAAGCCCAACCTCTTGTCAAAATTGGTCACTACATCCTAGGCCCCACCTTGGGCGTCGGAACATTTGGCAAAGTCAAAATTGGGGAACATCAATTAACTAAACATAAAGTTGCTATCAAGATACTGAACCGGCAAAAGATAAAAAGTCTAGATGTCGTCGGTAAAATACGCAGAGAAATTCAAAATTTAAAGTTATTCAGACATCCTCACATTATTAAATTATATCAAGTTATTAGTACTCCGACTGATATTTTTATGATTATGGAGTACGTCTCGGGCGGCGAACTTTTCGACTACATCGTTAAGCATGGGAAATTGCAGGAGCATGAGGCCCGAAGATTTTTCCAACAAATCATTTCAGGCGTCGACTATTGTCACAGGCATATGATCGTTCATCGTGATTTAAAACCGGAAAATCTGCTTTTGGATCACAATATGCATGTAAAGATCGCAGATTTTGGGTTATCCAACATGATGATGGATGGTGAATTTCTACGGACAAGTTGCGGATCTCCTAATTATGCGGCTCCGGAGGTACATTTAGTTTAAGTCGAGGTTTAAGTGTTCATTGTTACTACTTTATTTTGTAGGTTATATCGGGTAAATTATATGCTGGGCCGGAGGTGGACATTTGGTCATGTGGTGTCATTCTGTATGCTTTATTATGTGGAACGTTACCGTTTGATGATGAGCATGTGCCTACGTTATTTCGAAAAATTAAATCTGGAATATTTCCTATACCGGAGTATTTAAATAAGACGGTTGTCAGTTTACTTTGTCAGATGTTGCAAATTGATCCAATGAAACGTGCATCCATTGAGGATATTAAGAAACATGAATGGTTCCAGAAAGATTGTCCTGCTTATCTGTTTCCGTCACCTGTCGAACAAGACGCTTCTGTGATAGATACTGATGCTGTGTTTGAGGTATGTGATTTGTATCATTTAGAGAATGACACACATTTTCTTAACAAACATCATAACTTAAAATCGTCCATTCCAATCAAAAACGTACATTTTGCTTGCTGTTCAAGTAAATGAAATCATAAACTTAAAAAATAAGACAGTAACAAATTGCAGTGTAATTGAAGTAATTGAAAAGTTCATCCCTTTTTTTCCAATGTTATTTGAACAGATACAAAAAAAGAAAAAAACAATTTGGCATTGCTACTTTTTGAGCTTACGGAGAAATCATCAACTTTGTTATTATCTATGGCCCATAAAAAAATACATATCATATTAAGTAGCTTTTTTTTATTATGAATACAACAATATTCGGCAGACAAAAAAAAAGTTGGGGTTGATTTTAACAGGTTGGTGCACCTGTGCACAATGCCCTAATTGTGCGAGAATATCTATCGGACAAATTTCTTGGAAAATACATGTTACTAGTGTGATTACCCTAATTCTACCTGTTTAACCTGATTAAATGAAATTAGCATTTAAACAATTGTGGCAAAATATCCATACAGGGTGTTCCAAAATATGATGCAAATAAGGAAGGAGCTAATTCTTTGGCTTATTTTATGACTAAAAGTACATATAAACAGAGGTCCTTATTGATCTACAAGGTGTTAAAAGTTCACTTTACACTTTCGGTACAATTTAAACCTTTAATTTATCAACATATGAGAGAGATTATCCAAATAAAGCCCGGATCTACTGGACCATTTTCAAAATGCTAGTTTCATTTAGCAATCTACCAGTGGCGTACCGAAAAAAAGTTAAGGGGTAGAAAATGGCACTTGACCCCTAAAAAAAACAACACCTGTAGATTTTCACTACAATTGACATGACCAATGATAAACCCTTAAGTTATATATTTCAAATTTGAACAAAATATTTCATGTTAGCATCCTGTAGATCAGTAATGAAGCATTTCTTTATATGAACTTTTACTCACCAAATAAGCCAAAAAATTATCTCTTCCCGTATTTACACCATATTTAGGAACACCCTGTATATCTCGAGCATCACTGTTTTTGTAATTTTTTTGTCTTATCGAGTGACGTAAAAATTCAATATGGCGTCCGTTTAAAATAACGAAGTTGATGTCAATATGTTGAAAACCCCATTTTTAAACAAATTTTTCTACATCCATTGAATTTATCCCATCGAATCTTGCAACTTTTATTTGAACCTTTTTGAATAGCTCTCTTTGTTACTAAAATATTTGAACTTTTTTATAAATAGCGATTTTCAATTTTTTCCAATTATCTACGAAACGATTTATTTTTTTTCAAAATATCGCATGGGAATATCCGTTAGCATCAAAAACTACGCAACTTTGCCAATTTAACTGAATCTATAAGTATAAGAATAATAAGAAGGATAGCTATGTTACCCTAATCAATTTAATACACCCTGTGTATTATATGGAATAATATACACTATACAGGGTCGCTATTAAAAATAGAACGAAAGGTCTCACGCTCAAACCATTTGAGATATAACCATGAAAATTAAAATGTTTCCATTTGAAATTATTTAACATATTTTGAGGTTAAAAAGAATTTTTTTCTTATGCAGGGCGTTTGAGTGCCACTGCCATCTTGAATTTGTTTAATTGGCAACATAGGTCATGCGATACGTCATTAGAAAGTTTTTTCTATTTCTTACTACTTTAATCATGTATGGTGTTACATTAGAAAATCATGCAGAAGAATTTGAAAAACTTTGCTTTTTACTTTGAATTTTTGAAATATCTTTATAAACAACTTTGATAGAAAATAAAAACGATTTTGCAAAATTTCGATTTTTCAGGATATCTCTGAAAGTAGTTGGAATTTTTGCAGTTTAAAAACAACTTGTTGTTTTGTACACAACTTTGCCAAATTTAAATTACCTACCTATCTCTTACATGGTGACCCTCGAATTTGAGTAAGCCTGTATAATTTGTTTCCTTACAACTATGTATTGTATTACATGAGAGATAAATCTCAATTTTATGAAATATGGATGTCCATTATTTTCTAACTTAACACCATTCATAATTGAGGTAGTAATAAAGAGAAAAAAATTAGCTTTCTCACCATTACATAGGACATGAACTATGTTGCCATTTAAAGAAATTCCAGGTGGTGGCATTCCTTTTAACCTCAAAATATGTTCAAATAGAAGGGTTTTAATTTTGATGTTTATATCTCAAACGGTTTGAGCGTGAGACCTTCCGTTCCATATTTAATAGCGACCCTGTACATCACGTGGGAAGTTTAATTTTGGCCCATTGTGGTTGGTTCATTCATATTTGTCAAAATCCGTTTCACTATGCATGTGTTTTGAAGAATGTTTAGACCCCCCTCCCCCTCTCGCTAGTTTACTTTTTGGATATAGAGCAAAAAGACACGGTTTCAATTTCTGTTTAAAATGCTTGTATTTTTTTGTATTCATGTGGCAAAAGTCACTTTTTCAGAATCAAGATGGCGGTTTTGCTCTTTAATGACCATCTCATTTTACCACATGTTCATATATACGATAAGTACTTTCCGAGACAAAAGTTGTTTGCACGCTTAATTCGCCACCCTGTATATGTCAATTTTGATGTAAAGTTCTCTTTTAGGTATGTGATAAATTTGGTGTAAAGGAAGGAGAAGTACATAGTGCTTTATTAAGTGGCGATCCACACGATCAGTTAGCAATTGCGTATCATTTAATAATAGACAACAAACGAATTGCTGACGAGGCGGCCAAAGCGGAATTGAAAGATTTTTATGTGGCTGGAAGTCCGCCACCTGTCATAACAATGAGTCCTAGTCCTAGCCCGAGTCCATCCGATTTCAGTTCGAGCCCATTAAAACCACATCCAGAAAGGATTGCTCCATTAAGAGATAGAGTTATTGCATCTAACCATGCAGCAGCTGATCGCAGTAGAGGTAAGCTATTGTTTCAGAAATGGTTAGTAATTTAAATTGTCAATTTCGAATTTCCAACTTATATAACTTAACTTACTATATTTCAGTGAAAAGAGCAAAATGGCATTTGGGTATTCGTTCTCAAAGTAAACCAAATGACATTATGATGGAGGTGTATAGAGCTATGAAAGCACTCGATTTTGAATGGAAAGTTGTTAATCCTTACCATGTAAAGGTGAGACAAAAGAGTCGCCTTCATGACCGATATGTTAAGATGTCGCTCCAATTATATCAGGTATTTATTTATAAAAAAAAGTGTGATGTCTTACGCTTGACTGTTATAGGTGGATTACAAAAGCTATTTGCTGGATTTCAAAAGTCTCAGCAATGAAGAGGCTGAAGCAAACTCATGTGCATTATTAGGGTCTGTACCAACACCGATACAACTTGGTAATTCCGGTAGTATAAAAATGAATTCCGGTCACCACACGATGGAATTCTTTGAAATGTGTGCAGCTCTTATTATACAATTGGCACGTTAAATGAGTTGAGAAATTGCTATTATTTTTAGTATTTTGTTAACTAGCAATCGCCAAAGATAACTACCTAATACCTAAGAGAGTGCTAGAGCAAGTTATCAAACGAGAGTTGCTTCATAATTTATTTGGTATAGTAGTACTTAGAATTGGAATATAAGTAGTGGTAGGTGCGCCCAGGGCTCTTAAAAATCTACCTTAAAGTATGTATATTAATTATCTCTCCTAAAAATAAGTTATGTAATTACTTTGCTGCAATAAACAAGAAGCTTCAATTGGTGTGGGTTTCTTCTGTAACTCGTTCTCTGAAGGGTGAGTTCACTATGCTCATCCTCTGCTATATCCTAAAACAATGTATAATTAATACTGACAAATTTACTTCTAAAAAGGTACCTAAAGCACTAAATGACTGAATAAGAGGCTGTTTGAAAAAAACACTACGATATTCGATAACTTTAAAACCATGTGTTTATGGAAAAGATGCATTTTGGCAACAAAGAGGTTAGCAACCCTTCAATCATTTTCCAAAGGGACGTATTGATGTACACAGCTGAAGAGAGTATATCATACAGTTCCGATTTTTCACTGTATATGTTGCTTCCTCGCTCGCGCAGACTGCATTAGCTCCTGTCTTAGCAGTTCTAGAAGGGGGAGCCTCAAATGATCTTTTCTTCAGTTTAGTATGCGGGAAGTGAGATGAACGACTTTTACATGAATACTTACTGCTTGTGTTTTCACCTGTACTTTTCATGTTGAATTAATGGTAGCTGATGCCGGAGTAGAGTCATGCTATTTTGATGTTTTGTTATGTACATGCAATTTATTATTTTACGGTTGTGAATTTCTTAAATTGACTTGTGTTACTAAGTTGATTGCTCTGGTTTTATCTTTGCATTTACCATATCTTTTGTGTTTTATTAATTTGTTTAACTGCATTTGACTCAATACCTAATTTTTATTGTACGATTCGAGATCTGTATGATTGTGGATTTCTCTTTTACATTTTGTTTTCGTTGTTGATTTATTTCATATATTTGCGTGTTATCCCACGTTTCTTTGCCCACAGGTTTTTTCCTGGTGTGCGTAACGTATTTCATTTGATCTTGTCTTCTCTTACACACATAACTCTGCGTTTTATTCAGTTCCCGATAGTGTCGCGCATTCCAACACATAAAAAGAACCGCTATAGTTATATAGGAGTTGTATTTGTACCACCCAGTCTGAGACGTTACTTCAGTGATTACAAGCCAGGGAAAAGAGCTATTGAAAACTTTCCAAAATAATGTACTCACTATTTCTTCCTCACTTCTTTTCTAATTTGCATTTTATAGTTTTACAGGTCAGGTCAAGAAGATGTGGCGGCGTCACACCGGCTAACCTTAAACAAAATTACGGCAGACTCCCTTATAATTAGTGAATCGAAAAATAGAAACCTCACCTTGAAGTTAACGGAGCGGTAGCGAAAAGTTGCCGGCCCGTGTGGCGCAGTTCAGGCTTAGGTAACTGTGGTGCTAAGGGTCCCTGGTTCGAATCCGGGTTCGGGCATCGATATTTGTAAATGTATAGTGGGTTGGATTGATAGAGGAGCCTTGGCTGAAACCCCGCCCACTCAAAAATAAAGGCAAAATATAAAAAAAAAGTCAATTCCAATGAATACAGGTAACTTAATGCAAAAGCAACATAAAACGGTACGGATGCCATATGAATGTACGGCAATGATAGAATTAATACTGTACTTATAAATGTAATAGGCAAAAATGCAAAAGCAAAAAGATTTACGGAAATGTCAATATTTAATATGGTACTTACAAATGTAACTAGCGAGGATATAAAAGCAAAAAGATTGCGTGCGTTTTCTATTTATCGAAATGCCCTTTTCGGATAGGAAGAACTGGGACATCCATTTCGTACGCGATAAGTCCAACTAAATGAAACTGTTTTACTATCCTTTCCCCGATATCGGAAAAATATGGGATTGATATCAGACTTCAAGTTTTTTAAGCGCGCTTTTTTTGAAATAAAGCCTTGCTCAAAGGGACGGTTTTTTTTTGTAACTCTCTAAAATTAATTGCTACACACTTGTGATTTGCCGCATGGTAGTTTCGGAAAACGAAGTTCTAATAGCTTTCCTATCCTGGTTTTTCGTATACCATTAGAAAACTAAAATCGATTAATCGGTATGGACTCATAAGTTCGGGTATGACACTCAAGGAGAAAAACGGGCGCTTCAAATATAATCAAAACATAACCATAAATTGAGCAAACAATCAAACATTTACACAAAAAATGATATCAGTTTCAAACAATCAAAGTTAACAAACAGCATTTTTCATACACTTGGTCTAACATTGAGGGTGTGTGATAATAGGTCACGCTTTAAGCGAACGCTTAATTGTAGCGTACTTACACTAATATAATTGATAGAAAGTTATTCAAAGCGGAGTGAGTCAATGACGTATATATCTCCTATTTTGACCATCCGCACGTTAGTATTGTGTATTGCATTGAGGTAAAAAAATACCCCTCACTTTTTTGACGGAAATGCACTACCAGGAATCCGAATCAAACAAAATCTCGATGATGTCGGTCCGTCTGTACTCTCATTTCCGGCTAACGGCTGAACCGATTTGAACAAAATTTGGTACACATATTCTTAGACATAAAAGGAAGAGTTGAAAAGTTTTTGGACAGAATCGCGCAAGTGTGTCAAACTCCTATCCCATGTTCGGCTGAACCGATTGGAACCAAATTTGGTGCACATATTCTTAGACATAAAAGGGCAGAATCGAGTATGCGCAGGTGTGCGCCGGGTGTTATCTGTGCTAGCCACAACACATTTTTTGTTGTGTAATTGCACTGTTTACAGTTAAAGACTTTGGAATTATGCGTTAGAAAATGATTCTTTAACTTATCCTTATTGTTGGTTGTCTGCGTTGTTCATAATTGAAGACTTTTGAAATATAACGATATCTTAAAATTGCCCTCTTGTTAGTTGCATAATTGCATTGATTACATTTAAAATACTTAATTATTGCAGATAAAATTTTTGCAAATGTACCTATTTACTTTTACAGCCGTAAAAACTACAATAATGATTACTTCTGGCCATTGTAATTCAACAAAATGGCGGACTTGTACCACCAATATAGCAATTACAATGTGCTGCCACTAGAGGTCTCACTATTAATCTGAATCGCTAAAGTCACTATTAACCTGAATCGCGAATGATACCGAGATTTCCACAGTAAGCCGCGAAAGATGGGCACCCTGTATACCTTGCGTACTGTAGTAAAATATTGTAAATGTTGGCGACATTTATTGTTATAGTTTATTAGGTTTAGGTTGGTATTTAACCTTTGCTTTGTTTGGTTGATTATTTTGATAATTTCAATGTTTTTATAACAAATTGTACATAATGAATAATACAGTCAACTTAATTACTAATTGCTCCACTTATGTGGATTGTATGTGATGTTTAATCGAACATTTGTGTTTGCTTCCTAGGATAACCTGCCAAGAAAATTCTATTTCTCATTTATACATATTTTGATGCTTTTTGTGAATTTATACTTAACTTACTTAGGAGTAAGACCTTATCTTTATTCACTGCACCTTGAATGCTTTCCGAAATTGTAATAGAGGGAAGTGAAAATGCTTCCCCAGTCAGATGCACCTCGTCATGTGGCAGAAGCTCTACTTAGGTCAACAGGTTCATTACAAAGTGTTCAGCTTCAAGATCAGGACATTTGTAAGTGGCTTTCTTTTTGTACGTTGTTACAAATGAGATTCAACGCTCACACGTGCAATTTTGGTGTTAGTGATTAACACATTGTTATCTCTTGTTTACATCATCCGATCTTTGAACTTAACATTTTTCTATGCAAAAAATTCAGTTCATTTCGGTTATGTTTATGTGTTACATGATTTGTGTTGTTTTAGCAAGAAATTATAGCATAAATGCTAATCCTTCAATGCCTACAGAGTATGTGACGCAAGGGGAATTATTAGGGAGCCAACAAGGAAGCATGTCGAAGGTGCGACGATTCTTTTGCTTATTTGTTACCTTCGACTTAGCATTCAGCGGTCTACTATGGCTTATTTGCATAATGGTGAGTAATAGATCAATGTTGGGGTGTAAATAGATCTTGAAATAGATATTGGGCAGTAAGTAGTAATAAAGACATTTTGTGATTGCATGGGTACCATTGAAAGTCATGATCGACTAATGTTATATTGGTTGTGGTGTGGCATATCAATCAAAACATAACCTAGAAATGTTTTTCTTTTATACGTGGTGAGTCAAGATTATATGAAAACTTGAAGAGAGGAGTTTACAGCACAAATTAATTACTACAATATGAACTGAAAAAGTAAAAGTATGTCGCGAATAAGGTAAAAAAACAAGAGTAAGATTATAAGCTATCTGTCTTCAATAGGAACATTGGCAAATATACGGCAATCCACGTCACTACCCTAAAAACATTCTTTCATTTTTACACCCACCCCATTTGTTGAAATCTCGATTGAAACTTATTAGATTAAAAAAAAACACCTTTCTAAGAGGCTAGAGAGCTGAGATCTCAAACCCTCAGTCGGATGGACGGAATTCACGGAGGTATAAGCTGCATTTTTCATGAAAAATGCAAAATTCTAAGTATTTTGGGCTTTACCATCCACGTATAGGGAAAATGATGGTTCGTAAGACTGATCATATAGCTATATTTATTGAAGTCCTTTTCAAATCTTGTTAACTTTAACTTTTACACGCCAGTGTACCATGCGTCTCTCAATTGGGCAGACTTTTTAGAAGTAAAGTGATATTGTAAGTCAAAAACGAACATAAAAAACTTAAATTTATATAATAATGAACCAATACAGTAAAAGAATATTGTCAATTAGCCGTTTGTAGTTACTTTTTTATTATACAGGGTGTTCCAAAAGTCCCGAGGCGTAGCTATAAGTTTCAAATGAGTGAAGAATAAATCTGAGAATTTCCGGATCAATAAACGGTTATAAAGACTACATTATAGATGGTTTTACCCTAGGTTTTACCTTTCATACACTGAACTTTTAAGGGGTGATAACCCCAAAACTTTTGAATTGCAATCCTTGTCAAGTTGCACTTTTAAAACTTGACAGGGTTGAGATTTAAAAATTTCGGGTTGCCAACCCCTAAAAAATTCTCCCTTTATTAATCCCCAAATTTTCAGATTTTTTCTTCATGACTTGTTTTCTTGTTTTTTTACACATCGTGTACCATATATGTTGCAGTGAAAGATGAAAAAATTGGTAATTGTTTTTTTTACAGATAAATGGCGATAATATCAGCAATGCAATAGACAAACAAATATACCATTACACTATTCACACTTCTTTGTTTGATATCGTCTTAGTAGCAATATTTAGATTTCTTATTTTACTATTATTTTATGGACTATGCAGTATTAACCATTGGTTTATAATCGCCGTAAGTTATTTACAAATTTAAAAATTATGTTTTTAATAGGTAACATGTTTCAGCTATCAACAACGGCTACTTCCATATTTCTTATAGCAAAAGTATTCCAGTACAGTGTAAGTCATTTCTATTTCATTTGTTCCTGTGTTGTGTATCAGTATCACAGTTTCACAGTACACAAAAAATTTCATATCGTGTGATTGCAAAAAACAGTAAATAAACATTTATATAATTTTTGTATATTTCATAATGTGGTATCAGTGTGACAGGGAAAAGATAACTACTGCTGTAATAGATAATTGATCATTATGTCATCCATATGCTTTTGAATTTGTTCATTTTTCAGTGGGTGGACTCCCGCCAACCAGTCTTCGAAGTTTTATTCATTTTAACATCGTTTGTAATATCATGGGGTGAAGCTTGGTTTTTAGACTTCAGGGTGCTTCCTCAAGAATTTAGTTTGACGCGGGTTCTTGTTAGTAAGTATTTGGTTTATTTATATTATATTTTGTATTTTTTTAAAATTCACTTGAAGCATTCTTAAAAGTAAAACGGATTGCAGTTCTGTAGTTTTGTTCTCAAAGAACTACTATACTGCATTCATTATAAGAAGGTAGTAGATGGCGCTGTGTTTGAAGATAAACACACACAGGAAAAATATAAAACGCACCAAATTATTGTAAAGTAGAAATATTCAGCATTGCGAACAGAAATAAATCTTGCATTTAAGAATAAGACAGGCTAAAAGTGAAGACAATGTTACAGGATTTGGTATTAAAGATTCTGACTGACTAACTAAGTAGAGTTTTATAATGACGGAAATCATGTTTTAAAGATTCGATCGTAATAAATTATAATTTACTGGTTTCCTTTAAAAATTATACAGAGAAGCATCGTTTATACGAAAATTAAAACATCCAAATGATTTTAGATGCGTCAGATAATGAACGCGCCCCATTAATCCGTAGCTATGTGCAAGGATTACCATCGATGTATACAGAAAGCATCGGTAATTTCTATTCTCCACTTGCAACCCCAGAGGGATCGATTCATGATGTCGATCATCCTCAAAGGCGTTATCCACAGCTTACATTATCGCTAGATCAAGTAAGTAATGCGTATTCTAATTTTATTTGTGAATTTTTAAAGTAGGAGAATTCATTTGAATCCGTAATATTGTGTCGACAATAAAAGCTCACCTAATACAGATATATAATTCAAAACGCGGGAATGGTTGATATTACATGCTTCTCTACTTTTACAGTCTAATGTTATTTATTTGTAGGAAAATGATTATAAAGGCAAAGGTGCAAAAATTCTTCAGGAGTCGTGGAGATTATTGACCAATCCAAACTGGAAGTTGGAGAAACGGAGTGCAGAAAATGACGTTGTTTATATTTTATCCGTGCCCAATGGAGGCAAAGTGTTTAAGATATCGGTAAGTCTTCTCAGTTAATTTTACAGTTTGAGTGTATAAGTTTTTAGGCTTCCATTAACGCATCGCCTCAATTTCTTTTAGAAGAGCTTTTTTATAAGGCAGAAAGGATTCCTCAATGGAACCCGGCTCTCTTAGAGTCCCATAAAGTTCAATCTATAGATGAACATACTGACATTTGTTACCAAGTTACAGCTGGCGCTGCGGGTGTCGTAGCTGTTAGGGACTTTGTCAATATCAGGCATTGGGGAGTTATTGAGGGATGTTACGTTATTGGTTATTCAGCTACTGAACATCCGGCCATACCTTTATGTGAAAAATATGTTAGGTAAGAATATTTACATTTAATGTGTTGTTTTTGCCTTTTTTTGGAATTAACAAGGTTATAGATTAGGAAAGCTGTTCTTTTTGTAGTGGGAATACATCCTCTAGGTTTACAACCATTTATTGTGATGGTTTAGAGGATCACTGTCTTCCAATACTTTAGGACGATCCTTCCTGGTCTACTGTTCAGAGCAGGATAGGTGCTTTTTTTAGAAACCACAAAACCAGTAAGGATATTCTAAGGCGCACCTTGTATAAAAAGTATTCTCCTTGTAACGGGAATGAAAATTTCTTCAGTTACAATTTTTACCACTTATTTTGTATATTTCTGATTTATCACAGCATATCCAGATTGTGTGGAAGATGACAGATCTCAAAGATCAGTTATGCCTCAAAGTCCTTTAGTACTGTGTAACTTTTATTCATTGGTGTAACTGCATAATAGTCATTCATTGACGATAACCTTGATAACTTCCTAATATATGTGTTCTTTTTTGCAGAGGTGAGAATGGAGTTGGGTGCTGGGCCATGAAACCAGTACCAGGCGAAGTAGGGAAATGTACCTTCGAATGGGTCCTTAATACAAATCTTAAGGGATGGATTCCTCAATACATTTTGGACAATGCGCTTGTGGGAGTTTTGTTAGATTATGTAAAAAATCTTAGAAGACACTTAGTTAAATTGAATGAGTCAGGTTTAAGATAGAGATATGTGTTAAAGTGAATGACGGAATGATCAATTGCTGAAAGAAATTTGTATTTTTAATTACGACTGAATTCTGTATTCTTATGTAAAATACAGTGGATTTGGAAAAATCGCAAATATTTTAGAATTATTATTGAATGAGATACTCTCATTGCGTTTTTTTCACGGTACTGTAAATTTCATGTGTCATAACTGTAAGTTAAAGTTATATTTTCATAAACGTTATAATTGTAAATATTAGGGATATAGCATTTTAATTAACTATCCTTTTTTACAATTTGATGCAGTATACCAAAATGAGCTAATAAATGATAATTGAATTGCGAAACATTAATTTAAAAAATGTTGACATTTCCAGGAAGACTCGAGTCACATTTTTGTGTTTGGCATGGTACACTCCATATTCATGTTTCAATTAAACTACATTGTTAATAAATGTGATTTGAACTAAACAAATTCGTGCAAGTCTTTCATATCTCAGTTAAATTTATCTGATCAAGAACCTCTAATGTGAATACATTTGTTTCCATGGAAAGTAACTGTCAGATAAATTTAATAGTAAGGTGAAAGATGGTGCCTTAGTAGATTAGTGTTCCTTAACTGTGATTTATTATATCTTAACATGTAAAAAGAATCAAATTGATCTGAACATATTTATAATATTATTATTTACGATAAGTTTGCTGTTTATATATTTTTTTAGGGTCCGTCTTTCATGTAACCATTCAATCTACTGAATAAGATTAATTGAAACATGAAAGCTGGTTCTTAAACTACAAATCAACTAACCATATAATGAGATCTAGTATCTGTGATTCAAATAAACTACCTATGTACATTTTGTATGTCTAAGGAAATATATTCTTTTTGTAAGATGCACAACTTAGATAGAAACATTTACACTGCTACATTAAAATGTTTCTTATTATTTCAATGTCTCCTTTTTAACCTTACTAATCAACATACTACATGTTTTCTTTTGATTTGGTATACAGGGTGGTGATTTGCGTAACGGATTTCAATGTAAAATTCATAACATGCGATTATTGGCTCCCCAAATTATTTTAGAGCAAACATGTATTAAGGTTTTTTGTAGAAAAAAATTTTTTACGTTAATGAACCTTATTAGTTTTCAATTTTTTGCATAATATAGACAGAAAATTGGAAAAATAAAACTCCCATCTTTTTCAATAATCTGTGATGCCATGGAACCTGTATAATCGGATGAAGTACAAAAAAGCGATGCCATAATAATCGCTACTTGTGCAGAAAATAAATGAAAGTTATTAAATAAATATTAAACAATAAAAATTGCCTATAGTGCGCGGTTTCTGGGAGCTACAATGGCGAAATCAGAAAAGTTATTGAATATCGGGATATTGAACAAAATAAGAGTTTTTTTAAAGGAATCTTCTACAGACAATTTAATTTATGTATAAAAAACTGCATAAGCCACAGTGCAATTATCCCCTTGACAGCGGCAAAAGTTACCTTCAACTTTTACAGCGACAAAAGCACTATAATAGTGGTTTTTTCACTTATTCATTTTCGAACAAATTATCGCATTTATTAGTTGACAGTTTTTCTCATCTAATTGCTATGTAACGCACAGATATTCATTACCTAAACAACCCAAATTTACTCAGTAAAATACAATAAACCTCTTGTGCAATTATAAGTGAAAATCAAATTTAGGATAAAAAAATCTTCACATAACTATCTTCACTAAATAATTACAAAGCATTGTTTTGATTTAAATTAACAAATTCTCAATAAAACAATTGATAACCAAAAGTTGAACATTCGCAATAGATACAGTGCACAACATTTTCCTGCAAATTCCTGTTGTGCAGTTACCTTGTTTGGTTACCTGCTTGCAACATACGCAAATGATGAAGCGTACCTCACATCAGTAAAAATATAAATCAGTTGGTGAATGATTTCAATTCAAATTCGCTTAATCAATATATCTTCGAAGAAATAAAATATTTTACGTGTTTTGAAAAAGATTCGATTGCTGCCCGCAAAGCGAAAGCTGGTCCGTCAGAAGATGTGCTGGGAACAAGCAGTAAAAAAAATTGTCAGAAAAGTAATAGTTTATTGAATAATCTTATACACTACTTATTGTTTTCACATTTTTCAATATAGTTTCGCTGCGTTCCTTCTACACACTTTTGCAACCGATTTGGAAGTTTTAGTATCCCTGCTCCTAAGAAACATAGATATATGTAGTACATATATATCTGCAGATATACTCGTAGAGCGCTTGGGGGGAGTTGTAAGCCATTGTTCCTCCCTCCTCGATGTCTACGAGTATATTGCTCACAATTCGTTTTCCCCACAGTGATGCCTTCCACTTGAATCCTCTTGAATATAAAAGGGATAATTAATTATGGATGAAGCAAAAATCTTGGAAATTGTAATATGACATAAACATCAGCTGAAACAAGATAAAAACGCAATTATATCCTCCCTACGGAGTTTTTATATAGTGAATCGGTCCTAACGACAATATTTCCAAAATGCCGCAAATTAGTGAATCCAATTTGCGTTAAATATAACAAATTAAAAAGTAATCGTAAACGATTTATAAAAAGGGCATTTCCACTTGCATTCATTTCCCATTTGTAAGATGCAACTTCTGTCACAATCGTAAAAATCCGGCCACAAATGTAGCGTTGCATATGTGCAATCCTTTTTTGACGTGCTACTTCAATTTCAGTTTGTAAGAAGAATTTCATTTCAATGCTTTCCTAAATAAGAAAGTTGGAACTGCGCGTGCGCAAACCTAAATTTTGAAACTAACGTTAGATTTTCCTTTGTTCCAAGCGCCTATGTATCAAATTTCACTTTTATGCTTCCATAGATAAATAAAGTTGGCACTGCGCATGCGCAAAATAAAGTTTTGAAACTGGCGTTTGATTTTCCTTTATTCCAAGTGCCTATGTATCAAATTTCGTTTAAATTCTTCCATAAATAAAAAAGTTGGCATTGCGTATGCGCAAAACCAAATATTGAAACTGGCATTTGATTTTCCTTTATTCCAAGCACCTATGTATCAAATTTCACTTAAATGCTTTCATAGATAAAAAAAGGTTGGCACTGCGCATGCGCAAAACCAAATTTTGAAACTGGCGTTTGATTTTCCGTTATTTCAAGTTTCATTTAAATTCTTCCATAAATAAAAAAGTTTGGAATTCGGTTTATAAATGATCGAGATGCGAAAAGGGCACTGAGAATTTTGATTCGATTCGACTCAACTTTTGGAATTTCGTATTATATGACTAAACCTATGCCCATCTTGAATTTCATGCAATTCAGTTCATAACTAACGGAGATGTCAATGCGATCCGAGATTTCTAAACAAAGATATCGTACACACGGACAGATAGAGGGACAGACAAACAAAGGAACAGACGACATACCAACAAACAGACGACAGACAGTAATACAAAATTATAAACGATCTCTATATAGGATCGTTAATAAACGGCAAACGTGTAAAATTGTGGAACATGTAAAAAAACGGTTTGTTGGTTTTTTTACAATAACTTTTTTAGCAATAAACGCAGAAAAAATTCCTTCCTTGGTGCAAGCCTCGACACCATAACGAACCAAATAGCAATAAAGAACTAGTAGCGTCTCAACGAACGAGCGGACGAACGGGCGGACAATTTGTCCGGGACAAAGTGGCCACAATAGCGCATTTTTTTTATTTTTGTGGAAATGCGCTAAAAATATGGATGATGGCAATTAAAATTTCATGCGTTCTCAACTAACGCCTCAACAGTTTAATTAAAATGTAGTGCACTCTGTCACAGCTCACAGGAGAAAGAGGAAGACCAAGGTCGACAACCAAAAAGTACGAGACGACGCAAAGCCGTCAGGCGGCCTTGTACGACGCCGGCACAAAGCGCACTAAAATTGAATGGCTCAAATTCCAGCAATAGATGGAGCCATCTAACGGGCTTTCAAAAATGAGTTGCTGTCGAGTCGCCTTTGGAAGTTCAAGTTAAATACGATTTCCCATGTAAACAAAAGTTCCAAAGGTGACTCGACAGCAACTCATTTTTGATCGCACAGTATTAAACTCTCTGCTTCCCAAAAGGTACGAGAATCTTTCAACAAAATATACCGTGAACAATAATAATGTAAATAAACCCATTGTATAAACCGTTACAAGTGTTGGGTCTCCCGTGCGGAAAAGTTGCTTTTGAAGAAACTCATTTTTTTAATCTTAAAATGAGCTATGAAAAATATAAAAGAGTGGTTGTTTTGTTTTGTTTTGCTTGGGGTAAATGTGATGTGGCAGCAAACTAAAACGTGCTGCTGCTGCACACCGATGTGAGCATAGCTTTCCTGGTCGCAAACGTTTCAAAGCAGAGCTCCGAACTCTGCTAAGGCAAAGCCAATTCCTGCTTTGACGGCGTTTCAAGAAACAACCAGCTCTCCACCTGCAGAATCAGTTGGCCTCGCCATCCACCTCGCGCCACGTTTCATCAGCCAAAAAACCCGCTTCCTGCGCTCAGTCATATCAGTAATACAAAGTCGCACTAAAATTTACCAATATACAGGGGGTCTATTTTATAAAATTTAAATTTGATATAAATCTGCACTCTTTCTTTGAAAATATTTTTAGGTTCAACACGCCCCGACAATGAACTTATAAATATATGCGTTGATAAATCCACTATCTTCCACTCATCCTGTATATTAAAGCCCACCCACGAATTTGGAAGTTTTTCCTGTTACGTACCTACAAATGAGCCCCAAGCAATTTAACTACCGATATAGGTAAATTTAAGGAATTTGGAAAAGTTTAAAGTATAATTTTGTATTGCTGTCTGTCAATAATTACACAGCCTTCTCCATTACTAAAATATTTTCTAATCTTTTTCTAAAACTTTTAATCATTGTAAAATTTGGCTGGGATTTTGGTTTTTTTAAAAAAACTTTTTTCTAAAATTGTTTTAGAATTATTTGTCTTTTAAACGTTGTTCAAAAATAATTCTAAAATTATTTCATAATTTTTTTAACATCCTCTCCTAGAAATGATTCCTACAGTTTTTTGTGTAACATTTTTAACAAAATCTCATTGAAACTGAAAACTACCTCTTACCTTACTCTCCACTGTATGTTTTAAACGGGAGCAAAATCATCGCGTAACGTTCAGTAGTCAAAAGTGCATTTGTCCATTTGAAAGGAAATATGGCATTAAACAAAAATTTAACATTTTTTTAAATATACGTCTTAGTTTGGTACTTTATATGTGATATTTAATAGAACGGCGTAAATGAAAGGGTGTCGCCTTTCGCAACAAGAAGGGGGCGATTGTGAGTGAGAAAGAAATACTCACTTCTGTTGTTACTTACCAAGTGCCACTTACGAATTTTTTTCTAAAGTTTTTTTCTGAATTTTTTTTCCTTAAATGTAAAGAATAAAATTTCAAAACATTTAAAAAAAAAAATATAGGAAACAATTCAAATTTAAAACAAATTTCAAAAAATTTAAAATATTAAATAACGTTTTCTAATTTTTAGAAAAGATTCGTAGTATATTTTGTGTAAACGGTTGAAGCAATAATTGCGCACATGTTTCATTCGTACAATGCGTGTTCGGAGACCCAAAACCGAATTTTTAATATTTACGACACAAATAATAATTATTCTGGATTTGGTAACTAAAGAACTTCGAGAAACAATCCGGAAGCGTTACTTATCTATAGAAAATATGGAAGTAGTCATTTTGATAGAGGATTTATGGTATAGAGTTGCATCAGTTCCTTTATTCAAATTACATTACTTTACATAAAAATAGATGGGTAGATAGGTACAGTAACATATTATGTACCTACGTACATGCCTTATAGTTTATTGAAAGAAATGATGTTCACTTCATTTTTCATACAGGTCGTAAGTACTTCTCGGATTAACTCACTTTTCTTGTGAAGGATACCAGGGTTGGCATGCATCGAATGCAATTTCGCAAAGCGCCGAGAGAGCTTTGTTAGCGTTGTCATATTCTGAAATAAAAAAATGAAATAGAAACATATGTTTTTAATTGATCGTAGGTACACACAATAATATGTTCACCCACCTGCAGTGATTCCACGTTTTCCAAATATAGATCCGTTAAAGGGCGGTTTGCGGTACGTGGCTTCAGTCATGGATAATAAAGTAAGAACCAAAAGTACTACCGTCATGGCGGTGACTATTTTCAAATATGAGAAGTGCATCTTTGGGGTTTTGTCTTTGTTACGTTGCTGGAGACTGCTGTACTGGTTTCTCGTCCTTTTGGTTTACTTTATATAGCCGTAAAGACGGTGAAAGAAAATAGATGCGCATGTTTTCCGACAAAATGGATTAGCGAACCATTTGCGGTGTGTTATTACTTCATAATTCAATCACTGACCGCATCCACCTATATTAAGGGTTCGTTGCGGTGACATAAAAAGTTCGTAAAAATAAAGTGAAATTTCGCAGATATGTAGCTTAAAACAAAATGACAAATTTACACCACGACCCGGAGAAAGAATGTAACCCTTTGTAAGAAAACGATACCAATAAGCATTAGCAGCCCTTCTGCGGGGGCGAATTACCAACGTTTTATTTGTAACGTGAGGACCGACACACAAACTCAAAGTCCAAATGTTTGATTCATAACACATCTACTTAATTGGTTTATTAGAAATATATATCTACAGTATTGTGTATAATATTATGTAGTATAGGTATAGGTAACTAAATCAAACGTAAAAAGGATCGATCGCATCAATTAAATCTGCAATAATAAAGCGACTCCAGCTAACGTCCATTTAGTTGGCTTTTCTTTTGATTTTAGATTAAAGGTCCACACATACGTTGGACCTCGACCTCGGGTTTTATAAACTGGACAGTCGTACATGTTCTTCAGATCTTGCTTGTCCTGTGTAATTGCCTTGATGTAAATCACGGGTACCATAGGAAAGAGATCTTTTAATTTCGAATCTGCAATGGAACCAGATGGAATGTCCCATCGTGCTCCTTCCATGAACATGCCACACACATTTGCACCTTCCCTTGGTGCGCTGCTCACATCTTCCCTTTGCCGCTTCGTTACATCCGTCAATAAACACATTTTATCAAGCGGCCATTCATTTTTGCGGGCCGTTTGTTGCATGATCGCGGTTAGAAAAGATTGCGGATTGAAAAACCCACCGAGCCACACGGCGAGAGGCATTTGAAAATCTCCTACCCATCCTTCGAGCTCTTTAATTCGAATGCTCAAATCGCCGCACCACATACCGAGCGGTAATATGCTGGGATAAGCCTTGTTCGCCCAAGAAACAGGCACGTTGTCCATAAATAAACTCTCTTCTAAAGCTTCCATATCAGAAGTAATTGTGAGCTCACCTTTCAGTCCCAAAGCTAGCTCTCTCAAGGAACGTTTCATTTCATTCGTGAGGATATTCATTCGCTCACATTCTTGGAAGGCGACTATTATGAAAGGCGTGCGCTCCTCAACTTTCGCCATCATTTCTACAATGTTGAAACCGTCCCCTAGTTTATCCAAAATTTCTTCGATTATCGATTTAACCTTCTCTTCGCGGGATACCCCTCCACCACCACCGCCACCAGTATCGCGCGGTTGTAATTCAAATATGGTCCTGAACAAATTTTCCGACAGGTTTGTTAAAAATCCTATTTCAGCATTTGGGTGTAGACCGTACAAGTATGGAGATTCAGGTGGGAGTCGGTCATCAATGTACCGGTGATAACCGTTGTAGTCTAAATTAGGTGGGGCAGGAAATCCGACTGCAAGCTCGAGATCGCCATCCAATAATTCCGACTGCATGAATTCGATTAAGTAGGTTTTGCAGAGTCGTCGATCCCAGTCATCAGTAATGTGACCTCCGTACATAATTTCCCCAAAGAGGTATCTTAAATCGTCCCAGGGAATCTTATTGTTACCTTCTAGATAGTTGTACAGCACGTTTACACTGATTGTTAAATCGCCAACATTGAATGGGTAATTTCTATTCCATCCTTGTGGACCGAATTTGCGTCGTTCCGCAACCACTGCGTGGAAATAGCATAAGGCAAACAAAATGGCTTTAAATTCAGCTTCTTTGGTACACATCTCCAAGGTGTCCTGGTTGAAATTATCTAAGGCTTTGTGCAAATTGGCGAACATGCCTGTTGGAGGTTCGTTGGTGATTTTAATACTAGATTCAAGTATCCCTTGGGGTATCACGCAAATATGTGGATCGCCTCCAGGTTCGGCGCTAAGATACAAACGATAGTTCTCGTGCGCCCCTTCGGAATTCTGTTCCATTTTCTTTTCCAAATTTGATAACCACCTTGCAACTAAATGAATGTTTTGCAAAATTACCCAATCTCCTCGTTCAGAAGCTACGTCCATTGCGTTTTCGGCAACTATCTCTTGCCCTTGTCCTAGCGATACACTATGAAAATTTCCGCCGTCAAAAGTGAATCCCAGCTGTTTGCCTAGTGCCTCTACATCTTTCAGTGGGTTAACGCCTGGAGACAATATGAAGAATGTTGGTGTAATATTACTGGTTTCCTCATAAGATTTGGCAAATGCCACCGATCTCGCCGAGGTATACTTATTTCCAATTTTTTCGTCGACAAACGTCCCAACGGCGTAAGTCATTCGATCAGGTCTAAGCGCTCGCATCATACAAAGCCTTTGCAAGGCACTCTTATTCTTCCACTCTCCAGGGAACTTTTCCTTTTCGGGGCATTCGCTCTCTACGAACTTTTTCCATCGATTCACCGATCCCTCAATATCTTTGTCCAAATTTCTGAACTCGTCCATATGCGACAAAGCCTTGATTCCTCCCCAACACAAATTGGATAAGAAATCCAAAGGTGAGGTGACTGTCAGTGCTGGAAAACGAAGGAGAAAGTCGAGTTCGTCCGCCCTAATTTCATTTTCGCGCAACAGTATTTGAAACGACATTTGAGCCATGAATATCAGTTTGTCACATTCAAATAGTCCTCTGCTAGTATACATAAACACCATGAAGGTTATACTGTCTAGTAAATTAACCACTCTATCTTTGAGTTTATCTGCCGGTTCTGCTCTAATTAGGGCATTCAGAAATACGACCGTAAATGCTTTTAAGGAAAACTGATATATTGCGTTAATTCTATTGAGGTCGTTCAAAATGAAGTATAGTAACGATCCACGAATTGCAGCAGGTCGGTATTGTTCTCTGGCATCGTCAATTTTAACGGATGTGATCTTCGCTTCCGCTACTTTAATTTGAATATCAGCCGCCGTCTTCTTCGTCCTCTCCAAATTCTCGACGAGTGCTACGTCTCCCAAAATATTTCCGGTAGCAGATGACAGTCTTTCCAAGAGATTGTCTTCGCAAACCTTCAGCGTTATTTTGAAATCGTTCTGTTGTTTCGTTAAGTTCGACTTTAGTTGTTCCAAATCGGGACGTTCCACTTTGACTACTTCGGCCAAAAGTTGTTCTTCTAAACCGTCTCTCGTTACAGTAAAATTGATCAGCGTCGTCTGTGCTTGGATCTCAGGTTTGTAATGCGGATTTGCCAACTTGGTGTGCAAAATCAGTCGAAATCTTGGATCGTAATCCACTTCTTTATCGCCTATTTTTATGGCTTTTCCTTTTTTAATTAAGGCGCGACTTAAAATTGAATCTAGAACCGCATCTAAGGTTTCTCCGATGTTTTCTATTAGAATCACTTGCCCGTTAGTGATGCACCGTTCGATAACATCTAAATAATTCTTCATTGCGAGACGTATGATGGTGAGCTGCGCGCCGTATTTGGTTTTTATCCATTTTATTCCTTGTAATTGGGGATCGATCATTAAGGGCCACCTCGCGGAATTTGATAAAATAGTCGCATTTTCGGAAGACATACGATCGTTGGGCAAACCTTCGTTGTTCCACTTTGCGATTTGCGCATCGTCCGTTAAAAGCGATAGGGGATCTAGACCTTCCGACATTGGTATTGGTACCTCCAGTTTGGCTAATGAAGGTAGCCAATAGTCATTCATCATTTCCATTCTGTAGCGTCGTGTAAAACATCCTACGTACGATATGAAAGCGGTTACTAAAAGAACATCGCCGGGCATGGTCACCCCTGAAGTCTTGTAGTTAGCAACGCTTTCTATCCACCGCACTTTTTCGGATGCCAAACCACCAACTAATCGTTGTGCGAGATCAATCATTAGTGCCGTGGCGTCGGCTTCTGCTTGGCATCTCAACTTGGCATCGGTTGCGTCTTCAAAATCCGCTCTAAGTTTGCCCAACTGTTCCTCCAATTCGTTTAACTTTTTATTCAGCGCAACTAATTTGTCTTTGGCCTCGGAAAGCTCTTGGTTCGCCTTTAAAAGTGCTTTTCGTTTTGGATCGACCACTACGAACACCTCGTAAAACTTTAATATATTTATAACCCACGAGCATAGACCTGCAGCCGCGCCAGATTTACCTTCAATAATTTTGGGATCAAATTCCGGGTCCTTCAAATATTCTAGTGTTGCTTTCACAACTTCTGGGTACATATTTTCTTTGTCATAATATATCAGGTCGTTGAGAAATTGATCAACTTTCGCCATCATGATTTTACATTCCTTCCAACTTCGATCCTTCGGTATCTTTCCTTTGGGAGAGAACAGTACGAGCACGGCTGCTGTTACATTTACGACCGCCTGGGGAGGACTACCGAAAGATTTCAACTCGGTTAAGTTATTCTTATTCAATGTATTTAAAGCTTCCTGCGCGGCCAATAGAGCAGGTTCCGCTTTTGCCAAATCATCAGCACATATTTTGGCTTTAACAGTCACATCTTCTTCAATAACTTTAACTTTCTCTTCTTCCTCCGTAGCGATCTTTTTTTCATTTTCGACCTTTTCATTTTCAACACCGAGAACCACGATCAATTTATCCGCTTTTGCGTTTTTGTCCGCCAACTCGACCTCTTGGACGGCCAAGACTTCTTGAAGTCCGTCGACTTCTTCAGCAGTGGATGCCAGTTTGGTTAAACCGTTTTCTAATCTGACGATGCTGTTTTCCAAAAAGCTCATCTTTTCCGTTAGCAACTTCGAGTAAAGGGATATTTGCTCAAGAAACGTTTTAGGGGTGGTATAATTGTATCGTTTTTCGTTTTGCAAATACACGGCGGACATGGCATTTGCAACGGAGTGCACGTTAGACATAAACTGGGAAACCGAATTAACAAGTTTTTTAGGTAGCACTTCTATGTCTTTTAAGAATTTTTGGGAGACCGATTGAAGAGCCTCTTTGGGCCATTCTTGAAACCAATCAATGGCCGTACAGCTGACAAGTGCCGGAAATTTTCTTCCTCTAATACGTAAGGTTGACCCAACAGGCGAAAAACATAGCACCACTTTCAGTAACTTTCTACATCGGTTGATGTAAAATTTCCAACAGTTTTCTTTGGTATCTTCAATACCGGAAGCCTTCACCTCCCCTCTCACCACATTCAAAATATTGTCGATTTCATCATCCGCTAAAAGATCAGGTATTTCTCCAGAAGCCAGCATATCGTTAATTACAACTAACCACGCCTCTTCTGCGACTTGCGAGTCGGTCATTAAAAACACCGTGCTGACATTTTTCAAACCTGCCTTTAAGTATAACCCCGCTAGATTTGCTTTCAGATCTACCATACTGAAGCCTTTCCTCAGCTGCACTTGAAATACTTCTAAAGATGATATGAAAGCAGCCAATCGCGTCAAGCTTTGTTTTCCAGAACCTCCCACTCCAACTAAAAGTGCATTTCCTCTTGGAGATTCCATTATTCTATTAATTCGACAAATGTGGTTCATTGCATCCTCAAAAAGAACCAAGTTCATGGCCGCCACAAGATCGTTATACCCGGCTAAAGCTTCGTCCAACAACTTCGATAATGTGGCGTACTCACGAATTTGCATGTATTTAGGATCACCGATACCTTCCGCGAAATGGCAAAAGATTAATGGTTTCGCCATCACCGCGACCTCTTCCAGCTCCTCAAATCCTTTCTTCACTACCTCATTTACCAGTTTAATAAATGTATCGTAGTCCTGCCGATCGATCAGTTTATCCCCATAAACTCGGTACGATTCGTGCATAAACAGTCGAATTAAGCTGGTTACGTTAGGCGACGTTTCTACATTACCAAATATCATTCCTTGAAATATATTTGACAAATCTCTCAAATTGAAAACATAGTGAAATTTTATGGCGGTTGGCAGGAAAGTTTGTGATACTTTGTTGTGTAAAGTAAGCGCGGCCAGAACTATACTGTTGCATTGTGCAATTACGGAACCTGGAAATTTATTCATGGGGTTCTGTAAGTGTTGTGAAAACATGGAGGAGTAAATATGATAGCAAGCGTCCTGCGTTGGGAAACTTATGGCAAACACGCTGAAGTGTCTTTGGAGCCTGGGGTCTATGGTAAATGATCCAGCTGTAGGATTCATGCTCGAAATAAACTGAATGTTGTGAATGTCTTTTAGGGACAGCTTTTGTCTGTCGTACCAGTGCTGATAATCCATCCACTGCCTGAGCAACGTGTGAGGCTGCACGGTAAAGTATTTATCAACTTCCGGCATGTTCATATCGTCAATAAAATATATCATTGTCTTGCTTCCAGGTGGACCATAAACTCTTCCGGCTTTCTTTTCGAGAGGTTTTTCTAGAACCCTTTGTAACAACTCGGACGTAGTGTAAAAATTAAATGGCACATTCGTCACAGAATATTTATCGGACAACGATGAAAGCTTATCCTGTACTATGACCGTTTTGCCACTACCGGCTCCCCCAACCAACATTATGGGATGCTTATTTCCCACCAGCTGGTCCATAAAAAATCGCACCCGAACAGTTTCCGCCGTATTGACTAACGCCGATTGAAGAGGAATGTCAGGATCAAACTCGTATGGTGGGAGCAGATCACTCCAAGGCATAAATTTTTTCGTCTCTGGCTCTATGTAATATTGGAAAACATTTCCAGTTGCCGGAAATTTGACCGTTTTAAACTCGTTCGTGAACCACTTGCTAAACTCGTTTCTCCAGTCGACTATTTGATCTTGGTATAGTGCCGATCCAAAGGCCCATATTAAGGAAAACACAAAGTAGATCTCATACCACTCCTTAGGACAATCGGAAGGTAGATTGTGTGGAGTCAAGAAACCGTCAAGTAAATAGCACAACATATGAATGTGAGCAATGTCTACGATTGGTGTGATTTTTTTAAGTTTTTTCATCATTTCTAAGCATGGTGGGATGTATTTTTCGAACAGTATTCCTAAGTTGGTTTTCTCGTTTTCATTTCGGGTGTCAATCCATGAAGTTACGTAAGGATTCCAGCCCAGATCAGCTGGATTGATGTATAGAATACCTGCTCGGGAAACGGTAGCTGGGGTCGCTGTTCTCAAATTTGCAATTTCAAACAGCAAACGCATACACTTTGTTAAGGCGATGCGTTCATTACTGGCCAAAGTCAAGACCTTGTTGTCGTCCATTAGTGTGTTTAAAGACTCTATCCACATGGGATCGATATCTCCATCCAGTATAATCCACTTGGGACCATCGCCTGGCATATTCGCCATATCACGCATAATCACAGAAAACAGCCCATCTTTCCATTCGCGAGTTGCGGGATTTATTATCCCAAACAACTCGTCGTTGGTCACCGCTTTCGGATTGAGATCATTGTAAAATGGCTTACGTTTTTGGTTGTAGTATGTCCTATTGAGCGTTTTCCAGACGCCAGTTTTTCCGGTTCCCGCGAAACCCAAAATAAACACAGAATGTCGTACCGCGAACAATTCCTCAAGCTGGACCACTTTCAAAACAAACCCATCCTCTGGTTGCAAATTTAAATCTATGGCAGAAGCCTTCACCAATTTCTCCATCTCAAGATCGCGTTTCCTGGGCACGTCAAGCGCCGGAAACAAGTCACCAATTAAACCCATGAAAACGGGAACGTCGTCAGTCACAATTTTTGGAATATTAAAGTCCCTCAGGGCTCTCATCAGTACCTGATCTTCGGGGCGATTTCTATCACCTCGCCTGAGGGCGCCGGCTACCACCAAGACCGACTTAATCGCCCTAAGTCCCCAGTCGTAATGGTCTTGTTTACTTAGCAGCTCCTTGCATAATGTATATAATGTAATAAATTTCCTCGCTAATAATCGCGCCTCCTGGAAGCCTTCGGCCACTAACATTATTTCGGAAATCAGTGCGAAATCCGGTACAACCATCGCGCAAGGACGAAATAGTGCTTTCAAATTTTCAGGTAATTCTGTTCTACCTGCGTAACCAGGATTCATCGTGATAAAGTATCCGATCTGAAAAATAAAAAATAAATTTAACTTGTGTATGTGTATTGCCGTTTACTTAACTAAGGGCCCACATAGGGCCAACCTTCGCTCATCTGTTTACCAAGTGAAATACATTTTAGCAATGTTAATGTGTAAACAAATACATTGGAAATTGGTTGCCTGAAAAAATTAAGTCAAGAGTACCCTTAATTTAAATTATTGTAATTAATATTATAAATTCAGGGTACTCTTGACTTAATTTTTTCAGGCAACCAATTGCCAATGTGTTTATGTTTACACATTAAGATTGCTAAAAAATGTATTTCACACGGTAAACAGATGAACGAAGGTTGACCCTATGTGAGATCTTGTACTATTATATACCTTCGCATCATCTCCAGGACCAGATAACTATGTACATACCTAGACAACAAATTTATCAACAATGGTATCCATGGAATGAATCAACAAAATAAACTTATTGGACAAAGACCTACATCATATGAAATTTATTTAAATTGCTTTCGTAAATAGTATTGCACATTGTTTACATTAGATTGGCTTGTGTTCCAAGTGCCTATGTAGGTACTAAATTTCATTTAAATGCTTTCGTAAATCAGGAAATTGGCATTGCGCACGTGCAGAACCAAATTTTGCTCCTTTATTCCAAATGCCTATATATAAAATTTCAGTTAAATGCTTTCATAAATAAGAAAGTTGGCATTGCGCATGCGTTAAACTAAATGTTTGACACTGGGCATGCGCAAAACTAAAAATATCGGTACCTATGCACGGAATCCTTGGACCAAGCCCTTTCAAATAAACCCTATTAGTCCAGTCATATTAGTGTTTCACCTCGGAATGAGAGATAATAAGCTATAAACTTGTACGAACCTTTGTTTTGGCATTCTGAAAGTTGTCTCAAAAGTCTCATAAAATCTCGTGTCCGAGTCTTCAGATATTGAAGGTCAAATGTCCCAAAAATCGGTTTTTTAAAATATCTCGTTTCCTATCGTTTTAATGCCATTTGCATTAATTATAAACATTGTAGGGAATAAAATTCTCTACAACTTTTGTCCCAAAGATTTTTGTATGTACTCAACCGTTTTTGAGAGACGGGGCGGAGACCACGCCACGCTTAATATTTACAGCATAGTGCAATTGCAAGATCAACGTGTTAGTAAATAATGCGCCGTATAAAGGTTATCAATCATTAAAATATATAGTTATAAATAATTTGCATTGTTTATTAATTAATATACATCATATTTAGTAATATTTTTGATTTATGGAGTGTATACTATTTCTTTAATATTACCACAGATTTGAGTGTTTAAATCTGTTATATTACTTACCTATTCGTGTAATAAAATAATAATAATAATAATAATAATAATAATAATAATAATAATAATAATAATTTTATTTAACCTTTTGTTTCCATTTCTAAAATGTAAAGGTAAGTCATTAACTATTATGTAATATACAAAATGATTAATCTATAATATTATTACAGTTCACATAACATACCACAGATAACGTACAACAGATAACGTACAACAGATAATGTACAACAGATAACATCTATGACTTCACAAATTCTTGGAGCGAGTAATAGCAATTGCTGACTAGATAGGTTCTAAGTGCATTTTTGTACTGATTTTTATTTTTTATTTCTTTTATTTTTTGTGGTAGAGCATTGTACACGTAGCAACCTGCGTAATGTACCGATTTTTTGAAACTAGTGTGATTGCATTTAGGTAAGTATATATTATGCCCAGTTCTAGTTGAATACTTATGATTATCACAGTTACGTTTAAATAGCTGTATATTTACATGTATATATGTTAAAATTTTATATAAATATATAGATATAAATGTTAAAAGGTGATTTTTGAAAGTTTGACGGCAGGATTCGCGATACTTCAGACGAAAGACGCGTGGAATTATTCTCTTTTGTAGAATAAATACACGCTCCGTTTCTGTAGCCTGGCCCCACACAACTATGTTGTAACTGATAATTGAGTATACTTTGGCAAAATATACGGTGAGAATTGCTTTAAGATCTAAAGTGTTGCTTAGACAAATAAATGCGTAATGCAAGTTTAGAATACACTTCGTCAACGTGATGGGAAAAAGTTAACTTGCTGTCTATTGTAGTACCTAAAAATTTAGCAGTTTCAGCAGCTACCAGTTCATCATTATTGTCTATACGTACTTTTAAGGGCGTAGCATAGCACTGCGCACTCCACCATAATTAAAACGCAAGCAGGTTGTTTTAGAGATATTTACAACAAGTTTATTTTTATTACACCACTCCATAAAAAAGGCGATAACTGTTCTATGTTCGCATTTAAAAAAAACTCACTGTACAGTGAGTTTGCATGTAATGTAATTTCCCTATGTTCGATTAAAAAAAAAACACATCAATCTATGAGGTGTGCGCGGTTCACATTCCCAAATCGCGCAACTTGCGTGACTATGAACAGCAACTGTATAGTATTTATCATGAAGAACACTCGGTAAGATTTTTTTAAAGAAGCCATGTTAGGCCATAGAATGCCAAAATAAACGTTTATACAAGTTTATAGCTCATTATCTCTCATTCCGAGATTATACCTATTTTTTGCCTTAAATGACTGGACTATACAGGGTGTTTTTTTGGGAGCTTTAGTTAAACGTTTCTGGGAAAGTGGAATTGGTAGGTTTTTCAAAATTTGTACTTAGGAGTTACTCTGAAGGCCGAATCGATGTAAAATATTTTCAAAATGGCCACACTTCTTTAAACACCGGAAGTAGATAGTAAGTTTGTTATATCTGCCTTTTATGATTTTTAAGTTATTTTGACTTTAAGAAAAAAATGGCGGATGGAGATGATACCTTGATAATTGATTACTTGAAAACGGTTATAGTCATGGCAACCCATTTGCATAGGGAATGAATAGGGCTTTCTTTTAGTGTACTTAAAAAAAAGTTAAGTTGCGTACAACCGCGCCTATGGAAATCTAAATTTATGAAACTTCAAAGAGTAAAAACTTCGTTTTTTTAAATGGAATTACCATGTTCTTACTATTGCATGAGATAAAAAATCGAAATGGGCATATTTTGACAATACATGTTCCTATAGCTATCTTTAACAGTTTCTGACTTATTCCCATTTTATTGAATTGACACTATTTTTTTCGGATTTTCTTTTTAATAGTCGGCCATGATTTTATAACAATTGAATTTTAAACAAATCTAGTGACATTAATCCGTCACCTACTGTTATAGGTTAACATAAGTTTTTCAAAAATCGGAAAATGACTTGCAGTGGTTTCACCTATTTTGGAATTTAATTGTTATTTATGGTGAAATGGACAAGATCGCGGCACGTGCTTGCCATACATTCATTCGAACACTGGAACGAAATTGAAATTGTATGAATTTTGGAAATTTTATACCCCCAAATGCACTACAAACCGTTGAAACACAAGTGATACAAAGCGCTACTAAGAGAATAATTAAGAAAATGAATTGAATTGCAAATGCAAGATTAACAAAATAAATTCAATGCAAAATATGAAAACCTTCTTTTAAACATTTTTGGTATGGAATTGTTGCTAGAACAGATATCGCATTACCTCTCTGAATTTCCAGACTTATACGTTGTTTAAGAAATTGAGTTGAACGACTGTCTAAATTTCTCAAAAATTTTCCGTCCTATCCTTAATAAATGACTTATTTATTTATGAATTATTTAGACTAGAATCAATAATACCTACTAAAGAATCCTTTCTTTGATTTGTTTAAAATTCGATTGTTATAAAATCATGGCCAACTACTAAAAAGAAAATGCGAAAAAAAATGGCATCAATTCAATGAAATGGGAATAAATCAGAAACTGTTAAAGCTGTTAGCTATAGGAACATGTAATATCAAAATATGGCAATTTCGATTCTCTATCTCATGCTATAGTAAGAACATTGTCATTCCATTAAAAAAACTGAGTTTTTAGATTTTGAAGTTTCTTAATTTTGGATCTCCATATGTGCGGTTGTACGCAACTTAACTTTTTTTAAAGTACACTAAGAAGAAGCCCTATTCATTCTCTATGCACTGATAAAAATGGGTTGTAATGACTATAACCGTTTTCAAGTAATCAATTATCAAGGTACAATCTGCATCCGCCATTTTTTTTCATAATAACTTAAAAACCATAAATGGCAGATATAGACATGTGTGTATCAAAAGAACTGAAATTTCAGGTAGAATCCAAAAATGCAATAAAAAATAGGGGTTGCCATTTAAAATAACGAAGTTACTATCTACTTCCGGTATTCCCGGAAGTGGGGCCATTTTGAAAATATTTTACATCGATCCGACCTTCAGAGTAACTCCTAAGTACACATTTTCAAAAACCTACCCATTGCCCAGAAACGTTTAACCGTTGAGTGATTCACTCAACGGTTTAACTAAAACTCCCAAAAAAACACCCTGTATATCGCCCAAATCGGTTCAGTGGTGTAGAAGGCGTACGTGTGACGGACGGACGGACGGACGGATGGCAAAGTGCTGCCAATAGCGAGTTTTCACTTTGAGGAAAATACGCTGAAAACGTATTTTCCTCAAAGTGAAAAATCGCTATTGGCTACACTTTGTTGTCCATCCGTCCGTCCGTATATACTCTTTAATAGTATACTATACAAGATGTTCTATTAAAAAAATGGAATTTGGGTGTGCCGATGCCTTTATAACCAACCCTGTAAGTTAAAATTGAAAAATCCCAAAACTTATGTAAAACTTTGTTCGATATCTTGTATATTTTCCCCGCTAATCGATGGTTTTCAGACTTATTAGCGACCCTGCATATAAAGATATTACCTTTTAGCATAGTAGATGCATGCAAGGATAAACATGCATGAATAAAATAAGATGTACTTACAGTCGGTATCATTGCGATGATCTCTCCTTGAAAATTGAAAATAGTTTTCTTCGTTTTTATGGCATCTTGGATAGTTTTTACTTGCACTGCAACTACAGATAGTACCTCCACAGATATCCTATTGAACTCATCAAAACATCCCCAAGTACCGGTTTGAGCTAACCCTTTGAATATCGCACCAACAGATTTATAATCCATCTGTTCTGAGCAATTAAACACGTACACCATAATCCCTAGAGCTTTCCCCAGATCTTTTGTAGTTTCTGTCTTGCCCGTACCAGCTGGTCCAGCGGGAGCACCTCCCATTACCAAATGTAAACTTTGCGTCAGAGTAATGTAACATCTATCAGTTAATGGCGTAATAACTAGCCTAGGAGTGTTGCCCAAATATTCATACTGGTACTGGAACTGCGCGTCGCAAATATTTGCGAAACAGTCGTTCACTTTACTGTCCCATCGGTGTCTAAGCTGACTTTGCCACTGAAACGCTTGCGAATTTTCTACCCTAATCAATATCATTTTAGCCACAACGTCTCTGGAGTGTACATCAATGGTGCAAACTGTCATAATCTTTTGCCTCTCGCCAGCTGTTAAATCGCCCAGTAATAAAATAATTAGAGCATTTAACTGCGTAATCTGTTTCTTCTGGTAGTCCTTGAGCGCGTTTTCGTATCCTTCTTCTAATCGCGCAAACGACATATTGACTTCCGTCGTCCACCAAATTTGAGTACCGCAAAGAGCCGGCTGGGCGGGATAATCAAACAACCACTGATCTCTTGGCTTCTCATCATAAGCGAATACCGCCTCGTGGAAACATTTATGTAAAGTTACCCGCATGCTACCAATAACTCTATTTAACCATATCTCCACTTTACCACTACAGTCGCAATCTGCGGTAAACGGTACCCACTCGTCATTCTCCTTCGAACCCATAGAAATTGCCCTTTTTGATTCTTTTCCCCCTTCCATTGCAAACTTTAATTTGGCCAATGAATCGAATAGCTTCGTTAAATGTCTCGCTACCAATGGCGGTTGATTTCCGGTTGATAATATATCTAAAAGATCTGAAGACGACACAAAGTAAAATCTGGGAAATGCCAGACGCTTCGTTTCCAAATAATCGTTCAAAGCTTTCTCGCAAAGAACTAAATCTGCCAAAATTCGTTCCAAACGGGCGACCAAGCCCGGTTTATTTGTCGATCTGATCACATTCATTACCTTCAGTATCTCATTTAAAACATCTTTGAATTCTCTGTCCAGCCTATCAAACCTCTTAGAATCTTCGGGCAATTGGTTTCTTATATCTTCAGAGCCAACAAAGATACTTTCCAGATAACACCATTTGCGCTGTACTTCAAAGAAGACTTGAATAACTTGATCAGCCGCTGAAAGTTTTTGTTGCCAATCAAACACTTCGTTATAAAAATACTGAATAAACTTCGAGGACATCATATTTTGCAGTTGTACTTGATTATCTTCCAACATTTCGATCATTTCTTCAGATACCCTTAACAATTTTAATCTACTGCGCTCGTGGATCTCCGTTTCAAATTCCAAATTGACCCAATTTTGGTTCAATTCTTTCAATGTTTTTTCCATAGCCATCTCTTTTACCGATTTGTCCACTATTGTTTTCACATCTTCCTCGTATTCGTGTAGATTGAGCAGCAACAAATCATTCAAGGTTGTAGAATCGTCCAACACAAACCTAACCTGGAATTAAACCAAGTTGAGATTACAAAAAAAAGAAAAGTGTATGGTACCTTAGTTGCTTGCATTAACTGAATCCAATGTCGGTCCCTTATGGCCGGATTTTGTAGTTCGGTAACGGCGCGGAGAGAAGTTAGCATATTCTTGATAATACCTTCCATTTCATTGTAGGCGTTCCACGCTCGCAACTCTTTGTCCATTGTTCGAACTTCTTTCGCGAACCTTTTTAACTCCATTTCCATGCCTTCAACGTCGATTGTTTTCCAAGGAGTTGTTTTCCATTCGTCCATAGAGGATGATACAATCAGAATAAAATCCCATAACTGCTTCACTTGTCTTAACTCTCTCGCACTTACTTTTAAGTATTTATATTCAGATAATTGTACGTCAAAGAGCGTCGCTTGCTCGGCTAATTTCTTTAGTTCGTCCTCAAAATTACAGAGTTCTTGGTGCTGATGGTCAAACAACGCATATACGTTCTGACAGCCCCAGTGGAAGAATGGCAATTTCTTGAAAGCATCTCTGTGCATCGCCTGCCGGACGTCGAATAAACCTATTCTTCTTTTAATAGCAGCTATTTGTAATGTTTGCAGCGGTCCTACAGCTTGTTTTGTCGCAATAGCCACCTGGAACATTATTTTCGGTTAACCTTCTCCAAAGAGTTTAATCGAAACATTGTAGTGCTGTACCGTAAACTTAACTACGTTACTAACAGTTTTGAAATGAATCGACTTATAACAGTAAAATATTATTTATCAATCACGAATACACAATTTATAACAGTGCGAACCATTTATTACTTCGGCGTCGAAATTAGAACTATCGTGCTTATACACTGGGTGCAAGATAAATATGAGGTTCTCCGAAACTATAGAAGATACACTGATGGTCAAATTAGAAAAAAGATGCGCAATTAAAGAGTTATTATCATGTTTTAAAGAAAGCCAGAAAATTCCAATTACTTCTAAAGATATTTCCCGATTTCTTTTTTATTTTTTCTGATGTTATTTGAACAGGTCCAAAAATGTAAAAATCACTTTCGCATTCCCACTTTTTGAGCGTTACCTACTAGACACCGTTGAGAGATTTTCAATACCACGTTTCATTTCGGAGTAAATTATCAACTTTAGTTTTTTTTATGACCCGCAAAAAATACATACTGTATAGTAGCATTTTTTATTATGTATACAACGAATATGTACCACGCAAAAATCAAAAGATGGCAACTCTGTTGGTTTCAACAGGATGGTGCTTCTAAGCACAACGTCCTAATCATTCGAGAATACCTATCGCACAAATTTTTTATTTTCCAGGTATTTTCGCACGATTAGGGTGTTGTGCGTGGGTGCACCATTCTGGTGAAACCAACAATTTCCAACTTTTGTTTTTTTGTGTGTGCCGTATATCGTTGAATTCGTAATAAATGCTACTCAACACATCAGTGTGTAATTTTTTGGTTGTCTTATGTAAAAGTTATGCACGTTTGACTTTCAAAAACAGCATCTCAGGAAATAATTCGTGTGGGGGGGGGGGGGCGAAATTTGATGGCCGTCTGGCACACCTTAATGATATAGGCTACCTAAGGACGGACGGACGGACAAAACGCAAACAATAGCACATTTTTTTGTAATTCTTCAAAAATGCGCTAAAAAGTGTGGGTCTGGGGGGGGGGGGGAATTAATGTCATCTCTCATTGTATTTTAACTAATTAAAGGTCTCAACGAAAGGAACCGTTTTCTACCAACCATAGCCCTCCTCCTCGACCTCTTATCGTGATCGGGTATATTCCCTTATACCTCAAGAACGGATTGTCGGAAGAGGGTAGTCACAAAGGGCGATTGAGATGTCTGCAAGAAATATATCCATTGGTGATGTCAAACCAAAAGCTATTTCGGTTAAAAAAAATGCGTTTTATCTGCACAAGAGTTGTGCACAATTTATACTTGTTTCGAATGACGTCATTTCAAGTTATGTCATGTTGAGCATATTTTTTAAATTGAACACCCTGTATTTGTTTAGTTTTTTATGATCCTCTAGAAGAGGTTCTTTCTACCAACTACCGCCCTTCTTTCTTACCCCTTATCAATATAGGGAGGGGGGGGGCTGGTTTTATCCTGCATGATAGGTACTCCAATGAAAGATCTCAACAAAAAATTTCTACCAACCATAATCCTCCTCATCTCCTTATCGTAATCGGATATAATTCCTTATATCTCAAGAGCGCATTGCCGGAGGAGGGTCCTTACAAAGGGCGATTTGGACGTATGTAAGAAAATTAATATACACATTGGTGACGTTAAAAATATCTAATAGTAGGGTCAAAACTGTTTGTGCGAAAATGTCGAAAACGGAGCATCGGACGATGTTACTCACAAAGAGCGTTTAGGGCGTAGGGGTGTTAAAAAACATGCTTTATCTGCACAAGAGTTGTGCACAATTTGTACTTGTTTCTTATTTTGACGAGTATGATCACCCCCTGAAATATCTGCATAACATTTATTAACACCTTGTATAATGCCAAAAAAATCAAGCTTCCTTCGACACTCCATTTTCGAGATATTTACGCTTAACTTTTCACATTGCCAGTGGATACGTCTCTCGTTGTAACGGGAACCCTTAAATAGAGTTGGATGTTTGAATTTCATCACAGTTATGCTCGTTACGTTTTATGTATTGCCCCATTGAGTACTACTTAGAAGGTATACAGGGCGCTTAAATTAAAGGGTCGATCATTCCAACATTTTGCTAAATCTAGATTTAGGTAGTCCAGTAAATTTTGACCAATTTTCGACAAATAAAAACATTAATCTGTAATTGGATTGGATTGCACACAATGACTGTGTGACTGTGTAGTTGTCCATTACGCATGTGTAATTTTGGAGGGAAATTAACGGCTAATTTTCTTTGGAATTTGAAAAGGCCATTGATAAAAACTCTTCCGTTTTCGGGTAAGTCAAATTCTAAGCAGAAACTAAATTCGTCCTTCACAATAATGCTCGAATATAGACGTTACCGAGCTCGGGTTATTAAAATGTTATGTCAAGATAAAGACGCTTAAAGTCGTGCCATTCGATGAGAAAGGAAGGAGAATCAAAAAATCAAAATAATTCGTAGACATTCCCAACCTTCGTACCAGGAAGGGGTTGTTACTCCAAACAAGATGAGCTCTTTGAGAAGAACCAGAGGGGACAACCAAAACTGGATAGACTGAGGACATAATGTACCGCAATCAACACCCTCTCGGAAACAACATCACCCAATGAGTGGAATTCTTTTGATCCCTAAGTAATAGTTCGAACGACTCAATAACATACGTGATCGACTTGAGCGGAGATCCGGACTGAGCCAGTTCACGTTTGTGATAAAAGATATGATTGTTGGGAAAAAACATGGGTTGACTGATTTTTCACTCACGGTATGATGCAGTGAAAGCAACACGAGTTTTTTGCAGTAAATGTAATACCGCCGAGTGAAAAAATCTTCACTCAACGGTAATACATATAATTACCATTAAAATCATGAGGGCCCCTCTCAGTTTTGATCCAAAAAATTCTATAGGTACTCGTAGTAGGGGAGCTAGCACGAAATCCACTGAACGAAAATGATCAAAATTTTAACCGATGGAGTTCCATTTTGCCCTATCAGAGTATGCTAAAATCGATCGTCTGCCGCCTCAGGTCATATGACTTAAGGCGCTGCGGGTATTTCTTGCGGTACCAATTCTGAAAGGTTGTTTTTCGAGATAATAAGTTATACACCAAATGAAAACGTTGATAATAGCTCTTAAAAAAATATTTAAAAAAATCGCGCGCATTTGATAACTCCGTAAAAAAACAATTCTTAGTCGGTTTTTCACGAACTTTCTACGGATATAACTAGGTTACCGTTGGAAGAATGAAGCTGATTTTTTTACAGACTAATGATAGATACAGCCAATGACTATGAGAGTGTTTCTTTTTTAAATTTTTTCTCTAATTATAAGATATCTTATAATGTTAAGATAATAAGATAATCTTATAATTATAGAAAAAATTTAAAAACGAAACACCGTTAAGTCATTAGTAGTACCTATCATCAGTCTGTAAAAAAAATCAGCTTCAGGCGGAGATGGAAATTACCTTAGACCAGTTACGAGTATTCTACCGGCTACTCCGAATTAGGTTTTCCTGCAGTTTTCCTAATTCGTAAGGTAAATACCGGAGTAGTATAGACCAACTTAAGACCTTCTGCAGAGGCACCTCTAAATAGCATTATGCGGGCCACTCTGTAATTGGGCGCATGCCTGTTGAGGGCCCAGAACAAGAGAAGGATAATAAATAAATAAATAAATAAATAAATAAATAAATAAATAAATAAATAAATAAATAAATAAATAAATAAATAAATAAATAAATAAATAAATAAATAAACAAATAAATGAATAAATAAATAAAAGATATAAAGTGGGCCTGCCTTCATGTATAATTCAGTCAGTCGGCCCCTTTTGTTTATTACAGATGGACTTCTCCGATTAAAATCGTAATACATTGTGCACACCGTTTAAAAATCCTAGTGAACTCGAAATATCACAAAATACAAATTGTTGGAAGTTAGTGTGATTTCAAAGGTAAGGTAAGGTGTGATTAATACCAAGTATAGGGAACGGATAATGGTAGATACAGACGAATTTAAGTGCATATTACCAAAGTACCATATTACCATATATTACCACCTTACACCCCTCGGCGAAAGCGCCTCGAGATGTAATCTTGGTGCTCAGGCAATAATACTGTACTTCTCTACCTTGATATATATTGTACTATTTTAGGCAATCTATAATGTCATCACGTATATGTTTGTGTGTCACCGACGCGACGCCTGTAGTACTTATAATGTATGAAAATAGATTATTGGTAGGTATAATCATTGATTATACAGTGTGTATAATCAATGGTATGATGTATAATGTATATCATTCAATTAATTCTACTTACTTTTTTACATTGGTTCCATTTATCCGGTAACTCCTGTAACTGAATGTATATTTCTTCAGAAAACTCTACGCCATATTCCTTAAGTAACTCCATAATTTCTTTTATTGGCTGGAACATTCCGTCGGTCGCCGTCTGTCGGTCCCTAATCTTAACCAAATATCCCATTACCGATAGAAGACCTTCATAATCATCTTCCGAGAGCTCCACTTGCAATGCAGCGATGGCTTCAGCCACAAACGAATCCAACTCGCTCAAACTACTGATAACGTGCTCAAAAAGATGCTGTTTAAACATACTGCCCCATTTGCAAATTATATTCAAGACCGCCTGCCGCAAAGGTCTAACATCGATTCGTAACCACCCAGATATAATCCTTTCTGAATCGAAACTGTGAATCGTCTTATACAACGCGTCGTACACATCAATTTGTTCTTTAAATTGAACGGTTGTTGGGGGTCTTTCTTTGATCGCCGTTTCATCCTCCTTAAGCATTTCGATCTCTTCATACGATAGCATTCTGGAAAATCGCAAAAAATATTGCAAGTACTCCCGCCGATCGTCCTGCCATAAATAAGCGTAATCGTCAAAAATACCTAAATATTCTTCGGCCGCTTCCATGCCGCTTTTCACGCGCGCTATGAATTGTAGATTTGTGTCTTTAATATCCGCACAAGCAAGCGCGTCGTTAAGGTAATCAGGGTCCTCGTTCGTTTTATCAATTCTCGCCATGCATTTTGCCATACAGTACATATCCTCAATAAGTGACCTTACCAGATTCAAAAAACCGGAAATATCGTCAGGATCAATAGAAGGAACATACACGACTTCGTCGTCGTGAATTTCCAGTAGAAGTTCGAATAAAGGAAATAAGTTTGGGTTCTTGACAGTCGATGACTCCTCTTCCAAGTAGTTTACGCTGGTTTTAATTGCATTTAACATTACGTTTAGGATTAAGTTATCAACGTGCATTTCGTAAGGCCTCCATAGCAACTCCCTGCTTTGGCGCAGTTCTTCTTTTGCCTCTTCTTTTAGGCGTTTGGCTTCTTGTTCTTTGGACTCGTGCGGTTTAATTTCTGATGTTCTCTTGTCCTTTTTCGGTTCAGGTTTGGCGCCTTTTTTGCCGGGAGGTTCTTTAGGTTCCTCCACCAGAACTTCTTCCTGAAAATAAGTGCAATAAGTGCATGGTTACTTAAGTAATTGATTTGGGGACTACTTGAACTTCTTCTATCTCCTCAGGTTCATCTTCAATGTTAAAAAACAGCTTGTAGTTAAGTTGGAGGGCAAACACAGCATTACGTGAGGTTGCGCTTATTTGCCCATAACGCTTGTTTAGCCGCTCAAGTCTGTCATCTAATTGTAAGGTGTTCTTGCACAAGCCTTCTTTACGTTCGTAGAGCGGTTCCTTTCCCCAACTCTGAATTTCTGCAATAATACTACCAATGTTCTTTTGCGCTGCGAGGACACGGTCATACAGCTGCTTTATGTTATCGTATAGGTTCTTCACAAACTCATCACCTAGAAAACGATATTGCAAAAACGGTTAATATATGACCTTACTCAACTGTTTACTGTCCAATCAATCGAATCGATTAAAACGTTCAATTGAACATTTATCTGATCCATTTCGTCTTTGAATAACGCATATTCTTCAGGCAAAGTATTCGTCTTGAGGTGATTGTAATATTCCACGATTGTGTTCAGTTGCTGACAGCTTTGGAACAATTCTTCATTTCGCTGGAATAGCTCTTCAATGTCCGGCGCAAAATCGGTGATATCTAACATTTTCATATACTTAACTTCACGTAAAATCGCAACTAATTCATCGTCAAGGTTTAACGAAATTAATTCTCCATTTCGAACTATGCGAAGTTTGCTTAAACTTGTTGAGATTTGGCCTGGTGCACGATCCATCCATTCGGATAGCACTTTTGAGAATTCATCGTCTATGAGAAGTAACATCTGCTCCCATTTAGAGAACGCATATAGAGCGTCGGGGCTTTCGACGATTTTGTTTTCCAACAATTTAAAATCTTCGCCAGGTTTGAGTATCCTTTGCTTCAGTTTGTACAACCACCACAAAATACCGGCCACTGGAGGGAAATTCAGATTTATTGGTATACCATTCTTTTTGCCTTCGTCAAATAGAACTTTCACCATGTCCACTTCTTCGGAAAAGTATTGTATTAAAAAGGCATACTTTCCAATTATCGCGTTCCTTATAGCGGGCCGGTCCAATAGCGTACCAGATATGTTGATAAATTTGAAAATGCTTTCCATGTTGTAACATTCATCAAAGACCTGTATGAATATACAAGCCAAACGCGAGTCAAAATCCTGACACTTCTCCATGAATCTTTCATTGTCGGCGACTATTTGGTTGTTCGCAGGATCTAAAAAGTCATAAGTCATTTGCACGAAATGAACATAAACTCTGGTAAATTCTTCAAAAATTTCTTCGCATTGTTTCGAAAGAACGCGACCTTTGATACCACCAATTTCAACCTTTTCTAATTTCTGAAATTCTATATTTGTGGCGATAATAGATCGTACGAGCCGCAATCGTTCGGTAAAGTCCATCAAGTGTTGGAATACAGTCCTTGGATGAAAAGTCCACGGTTTAGGTTGTAATTCGGCTTTTCGAAAATAAGAGGCTACATTTTCACGGACTGCGTGGAAACATGAGTGGAAGAATTCGATCAGGTTTATGCATTTGTCGACCTTTATGAGCATATCTTCGGGTTCGACTTGGAATATCGACCCCGGATCCAGTTGTGTCGAAGCAGCAATAATAATTTGATTTGCAATTTCTTTTAGTAATGTTACCATTCGAGCACTCGTGCAGTAGTATTGAGAGTTCCCCCAGAGTAGCCCTAAGCAGTGCACTAGAGGTTTAATAAAAGGTCTCGTTTCCAGAAATTCGCTTTCATCCAACTTTTCAATGTGAGGTCTTACGGCCTTGAGGTACATACATATATCCTTTGCCTCAAGAATCGCCGCTACAACGTCTTGAAATATACATTTAAAACACGATAAATATGAGCTGTTGGTCAGTTCTAAATAAAGGATCATCTTTTTCACTCTTGGGTCTCGGAACTGATCGAAAATACTCTCCAAGTTTTTCAATCTGCTGTTCCAAAAGTTAAATTCCGCAATAGGCGTGGGATTTTCTCCGTGCGCGAGTGCTTCCTCCGACGTTTGCTGCAGGACATCATTGCACAAAGAAGTCCACTGAAGTACGCTTCCTTCGATTGAGGATTTTAACCCCAAATCTACTTCCGCGCCGCCCGATTCTCTAAACTGCAGTGAAGCGTCATAAATCTTGTCAATTCCGGGCGGCATAGGCAGCACAGTTTGTCCACGTATAGCTCCTTTAATCTACGAGTTTGAATTAGATGATCACTTCGAAATCACAACTCTACCTGAATAAGCTTATTTTTGAAGGCGTAGACATGTTTGATCATATCTTCCACAACTTCAGATGGCCATTGTGCCCGATTATCCGGATTACTGATAAAGGGTAGTAAACCGTGTTCAACCAAAGCCGACAGTTCTTCAATCGGCTTTGGGGATTTGTCGCCCATAAAAAGTACCTCCCTGATATTTGTCGCAGTAATAACGGCGTTCTTTTTTCGGATAAAGTACGAACACTTCGTCTTCAAATTTGAGGGAAAATCGGTAACGGGAACCAATTGGCCGCCGAGATTGGTCATCATTATGAGCCTGGGCGCATCGGCTTTATTGAAGAAGTTTAGAATTATTCTCTGAAAGGTGACGTTATGTGAACGGTTGATGATGACAAAACTTACGGCGTATTCATCCGTTCCCCACATCTTATTCCATTTATCGGTTTTTAGTTTCCATGATTTTGACAAGTAATTGAACAGGAATTCAACTCTATAGTCTCTGTCGTCGTCGTCTGCTTGCTTTTTCTTGTCTCCCATTTTATATTACATACGTTTTTTTAAGTATCTCTCTGTAGGCAGGTATAAAATTGTAAAATTGTTTCTAATAAAAACAAAATTCGTAGACATCATGACACTAGCTGAAATTTATTTTAGAAGGTACAACCATTCCCTACAGGTGGTAATGGTACAACTCGTATTAGTGCTCCCTTGTGTGCAAAGCAAAGATATGGAGTTATATGACATATTTATGAGTTTGGTTATTCAATTTTCGTAGGCAAAAGGTGAAAGGGCATATGAAAGCTGTTTCTCCAAGTCTCTGGTTTCTCCCGTCGGAAGGTTTTGAGATCCATGGGAAGACATGGATTACGAACACCAAGGTCCAAGCGCATTGTTCGGAACGTTCCCTCGAACCTTGAGAACCTGCGAGAGGAGGAACCATGAGCCTCTTACCCACAGGGTTCACCGATCAGCACAACGCGTAGGTACGTGAATCAACAGGAGTAAACAGAGAAACCCAAATGCGAATGGAATGCGAAGATCGGTCAGAGGCCTGTACGTACAAAGAGAACAGCAACGGAAAAATCCAAGATCCTTACGATGGTAACTTTCAAGTCGCGAATCTTCTCTTTCGATGAGACTTTTCAGGTTATTGAGCACAAAAAACAATGTCAGCATGTCCTATGTCCTATGACCCCTTTGCTTGAAAGGAATAAAGAAAAGTCACGTATATGTGATTTAACAGAGGGAAGGTGCCTGAGCACACGTCTACTGAGGGTAAGTATGCACACTATTTTAATCATAAGCGTCTAATTTTCTGTTGTTGCAACAAAAATCTTCAAATCGCTGTAAATTTCACCAAAAATGTTGGTGGTTTATAGGTACACTAGGAGAATGGCTTCAGGTTTTTTTCCTGCATACATTTCCTAAGAATCTGCAGGTGTGCAAGTACAAAATGTTCGTCTGCAAAATCCATGACTCGGTGTCTCGGTCCATAGAACTAGCATCGGTTTTGAAGTTTCGGTTTACCTTATTTGCTCTAACTGTGCTACCATAAAGGGGAATCTGCTCGTCTGTCTACTGTCATTACACGTTATGACTCAGCCTGTAGAATGCCGGACTATCCCAAGATGATGCGATTGGCAAAGTATTCTTATCTGTGAATAATGTAATGTAATGTAATGTAACCGGTAACGTTACGTTATGTAGTGTAAAGTAACGTAACTTAATGTAACGGTACGTAACGTAATGTGATGGAACGTAATGAAATATTATCTTGGTCGAGATATACCATTAAATGGTTATAATGACACGCCAATTTACAGAATAAAAAGGAGTATACAATAACACAGACAATTAAATTCATACAAGACTAGCAATATTCAAATAAATACCTATGAAAATGCATACATTTCTGACAGTTGGTTACCGCGCTACTTTTTTTGAAAGAATGGGCAAGCGTTCTGCATCTTAGCCACATACAGTGAATTTTTTTTAAATGCGAACATAGGAGTATCCATGCAATGTAATTTCACTATGTTCGATTTTAAAAAAAACACATCAATCTATTGAGTAGTTCAAATGAGTAGTAGATACAATTGACAGCTGTCACATTTTTAAAAATACCGCCGTCCAATTTAATTACGAAATCGGTTAGGTTATTGCTTAGAATGTCAAGGGGGACACTTCGAACATTTTATTGTAATTGTTTTCGGTATTTATTTTCTTATTTTCTTCATTTATGTATTGAATAGATCAAATTAGTAGAATATCAGGTGCACATGACCTACAAATAATTGAAGGTTGGTTCACAATGAATTGTGATGTCAGCGCGTGCCATGTGAAGTCAAGTTATCGTAAGTTTAAGAAAAATGTATCCTAAAGTTGCTATGGCCTCACATGGCTTCTTTAAAAAATCTTACCGAGTGCTTTTCATCATAAAAACTGTAGAGTTGCTGTTCATAGTCACACAAGTTGAGCGTTTTGGGAATGTGAACCGCGCACACCTCATAGATTGATGTGTTTTTTTAAAAATCGAACATAGGGAAATTACATTGCATGCAAACTCCTATGTTCGCATTAAAAAAAATTCACTGTATGTAAGCTACGTCGCCATTATCAGAAAATACGAGGCCCTTTCGTGGCAGTGCTTTAATTTTCGAGTTAAGCAATGTCAATAGTGTTCTTACAGTTACACTATGGTACTATCATTTTACTGACGAGTTTTGTATCAAATTCAGCGACGTCGGAAGTGAATAACGGTTGGGGGGGGGGCAAAAATCAGCGACCATGGAGTCTGAAAGGTTCCTCCCATGCAAAATTGTGTAGGAATTAATGCAAAGCAGTGGGTTCTTTAAGTGACCCTGAAACCTGTTTATTTAATCAATCAAATAATGTATTTTGGAAAGAGAAGTTTTGAAAAAAATTTAAAAAAAGTGTCGGAGGATGTCTAGTTATATGCAAATGAGCAACTCAGAGGCACTTGACTCGATTGAGAAAACCATAGCCATATATCATTAATATTTTATTTAAAAAATAATTAATTAGCAAGACACATGATTATGAACGATTTTGGGGGTGATGTGTTGTTCATTCCCAGTAGTACTAGCTATAGGTAGTAAGTGGTGTGCGAATATGTTTGTTTTTTTTTCTTTTGTTTTTTTTATCTTTTTTAATAAGACATAGCAGAGGGTCTGTAACATTTAGTATTATATGTGTCTTACTTTTGGTTGGCTAGTGTGTTTGTTGTGTATATATATTATTGTTCATGTATATTTTATATTTTGTTTGTTGTGTTTTTTTCTACTGTGAGAGGCTGTAGGAAGAACGCCGATGATTAGATTCTTAGGCGATACAGTCTTTTTGGCTATTGGACATATTAATTTTGTTAGTTTGTGAACTCCATTTGCCAATAAATGCATATTATTATTATGGTCGGTGTATCTTGTGAGAACTCGGGTCTAGTCTGGTTAACTAATCGCACGGATTAAAATCAAGTAGGTAACGATTAGTGTCTGTGTCTGTGTCTGGTGAAGTTATGTAGGGTCCTAAAAAAATAATAATAAAATAAATAAATAAATAAAATAAAAATTCACACACTCACATTGGAAATCTAGAGATAATTCACACTTACCAACATTATTATTATTATTATGGTCGGTGTTTCTTGTGAGAACTCAGGTCTGGCCTGGTTAACTAATCGCACGGATTAAAATCAAGTAACGATTAGTGTCTGTGTCTGTGTCTGTGTCTGGTGAAGTTATGTAGGGGCCTTAAAAAAAAAAAAAAAATCACACACGTACATTGGACATCTAGGGATAGTAATGTGTCTTATTTCAAGAGTTGTTTTACGACGGTGTATATACTTGTACGAATGAGTGTGTTGGTTTGTTGAGTAGTGCTTTCAATTTCGTGCCTGATTTGTTCCTGGTGTCTAATGTAAGGAGTGTATTTTAATGATGAGACTCTACGTTGGTTCGTGCAATGCGTTGTTCTGTTAAGTGTGCTAATGTGGGTATTGTGTATGAACGCGTGATATAGTTTACCTTGTATGCTGTCCTGTCCGTTTCCATCTTTCGTGATCTCCAGATACAGTACCGAATAATGAAAGCGATTCACCCTTCGTCCCATTTCATACGTCTTTTGGAAGGTTTCTTTGCGCTGGTCCCACCACAAGCGGTTGAGAAGCAGGCACAAAGGTTATTATTATTATTATTATTATATCCCAAAAATTTTCCTTTTTTCCGCAGTTTTGCTGGCAAATCTTTTCAATACAGGATGTTTACGGTCTTCTCTGATCATTTTAAGGGCATTACAGCTCAAAAGGAGTCGACAAACCCCAAAACACCTTAGCAAAAATTTAATAAACGAGATAATATTTGTTTTATTTTATACATTAAACGATTAATCTGTGTACTAATCTAGCAATCTACTACTTAATCAGCATTGTCCACTTAAATTATTACAGAGAAGACCGTAAACACCCTGTATATCCTCTACTTCTACACTTTTTGTAATTTCTGCATGCACATGCAGTAGAAGACGTGTTAGTCGCTTTTGAGTGATTTAATTACTCATTCTTAGAGGGGGCGCGGCCCCCCTTGTGTAAAAACGGAGGGGGCGACTCGCCCCCTCTGACCCATACTTCCGACGTCGCTGATTAAATTCGTCTTCTTTTAATATAAAATGTCTAATGATATAAACCTTTTTATTAATATTATTATGTCGGTTTTGACTGGAGCCTGGTAAAGTGAATGGCGACAAGAAAAATAGTCAAGAAAAGTATTACCTACCGCCACTGTTATGGAAACTAAAATTTTCATTGCATATAACCACAGATCTAAACACTGTGTTTAGATCTGTGATATAACTAAGTATGCGATCAAAAATGAGTTGCTGTCGAGTCATCTTTGGAATTTTTGTTTACAGGGGAAATCGTCTTAGACCATATAGTACATGAACTGCTAATTGTAACAAAAATATGGTCAAGGACATCGCCTGGGTATGTGAGTTTCAGGGTAAACGAGCCTGTCCGAAGTTGTCCGATTAGATACGATGTGAGACTTTCAACCTATAAATTAACAAACGTCAATTAATTATTCGTTTAGATATGGCAAAAAAAGCAAACATATTCTTATTTGTGGACGTATAGAAGATAATCAAGTGTATTTAAAGCTTCCTGTACTACGCGGTTACCATAAAAGCTACTCTTTACGCGATGCGAGTTGTGTTCATACGACTTTAGTTTACCCTGAGATTCACATACCCACGACTACAGTGCCCTCTATCCATGACCACCCATTTTGTATTGAAAGCATAGAGCTAATAGCAGTCCATGTACTATAATATGGTCATTGAATTGATAGTTATAAATTCAATGATATGGTCTAAGGAAATCGTACTTAACTTCCAAAGGTGACTCGACAACACCTCATTATTGATCGCCCGTTAGTAGGCATTAAATAAAGGTTTCATAGCGATTTTCGGAAAACAAGTTATTTTAACGTTTATTATAATAAAGAAGTCTACTCTCTCAATTGAAGGTATCCTCCAACGCAAGCACCACTCTTGTATAAGATTACAACTTTGCACTAACTGTTGAAGTGCAATCTTTTGAAGCTCCGTTAATTTTAAAGCGAGCTCGATGTTGCCATGCAACTTGATTTTTCCTTCAGAGAACGCTTGCTGGACGTCCAATTTTCCGGTAAGCAGGTCTACAATATCATCTTCTTTTGACATGAAGGTAACATCAGGTTTAACTAAATAGGTAGGTAAATTAGTAGTAAAAGCGGAACGGCTCAAAATAAGATATTATCAGAAATATTATTAAATTCAACAGTACCCTTTCCGGTTTTTGTGTTTACTAGCCAATATCCTTCTTCGCCGGTCCTCTTCTGTACTTTAAACCCATAAATACCCCTAAATTTGTCAATCGTGTTTTGTTCATCCAGCAACAAAACTTGCTCCAATATTTTAAAATACGGCGCTACTGTAAAACCAAGTTCGTCTTTTGCCATTGCAACTTCTTTTCTGGTTTGGTCGTTATATTGCGAAGACATCCCTAATGCATAAAGGGCAACAACGGTAGCACCACCAAAACCCAAATTATGTTGCAATGCCAACGTCGCTCCTTCCACTTGTCGTTTTCCTGCTTCACCTCGAATTTGGTAGCATAATTCTGCACACTGAGCAATACCTGTCGCTCCCAGTGGATGACCCTTTGATATTAAACCACCGCTTGGATTCACTACGTATTTTCCGCCATAAGTGTTGTCACCACGATCTATCATCTCGCCAGCTTTCCCAAGTTCACACAAGCCTAAAGCTTCGTAAGTGAGTAATTCGTTCACTGAAAAACAGTCGTGCACTTCAACAACTTGAACATCGGAAGGTTTTCGGTTTGTCTTTTGGAACAAGCGTTGAGCAACTGTTCTGGTCATATCAAAACCGACCTACGCGTTTGGTAAATTCATTTACTGTTAAATTAGGTACAAATGAAAAACTTACTAAATTAATGAAAGTTCTATCAAATGAAGACGGAAGATCGGTACACATTTCCATTCCTAAAACTTCAACCGCTCGACTTTCTAAACCATGAGTTCGCACAAAGTGCTCAGAAGCTAAAACTGCAGCTGCAGCACCATCACTTATTGGACAACATTGTAGTTTCGTTAACAAGCCAAAAATGTTAGGTGATTTTAAAATCTCATCTAAGCTGTATTCATCGCGACATTGTGCATATCTTCAAATTCACAAGCTTAAAATTAAAATACAACCTAGAGACAGACTTACGGATTGTTTACGGAATGTTTGTGGTTTTTGTAAGCAATTTTCGCAAAATGTTCTAATCGAGTTCCATATTTCTTCACGTGCTCCATACCGGCATGGCTAAACAATTGAACAGGAAAAGGTTCAGAGCTGAGTCCATGAAGATCAGACATTATACGAATATGCT